TTATTTCAGATGGTTAGAATTGATCCGTTGTTTTTGACATCTTATTGATTTAAACCCTTCTAAATCCATTAGGAAAGACTTTCTCTGAACAGCATTCAATTTCTAAAATAGCTCTTTGTGTAATGGAATCACTCAGATGTTGACATTCATTGCACAATTAAGGAAAACTACTTTCGCCAAATTAAAGTGGCATTTTAGGGTCAATATATCTCCTCAATACAGTGTTTCTTACCACTTAGGATGTCATTTTGATTATACTTCAAATTTCTCTGTGACTCTGAACAGCCGAAACTGGACCTCCAGGATGAGCTAATGTAGCAAAAGCGCTTAAAGCTGGTTTTGGTAAGGGAAGAAAAAATTAGAATAAGAAACCCAAGTGTCTCTATGTTATCAGGCTGGGTGCAATGGCTCACACCTGTAATCCCAGCACTTGGTGGGGGTGTAGGGGTCGCTTGAGCCCAGCCTGGGCTGAGACTTTGTCTCTTTGTAAAAGTCTTTCACTAGAAATCATGCAAATGACAGAACAAGGCACTTAATCTTAACAAAGACGCTTGCTATCTGTGCCACGCTGAGTACTCGTGTGATCTCAGTATTTCTGACTTTATATTCCATGCTTAATACTAGTGAAAGAAGAGACTACTATGTGTGGGCACTCTGCTGAGCATTTATATTTATACTTCAATTAATCTTCCCAACAACTCTTAAAAAAGGTGTTATTACTGTCCCCATTTTACCAAGGGGGAAACACACATAGGTTAACCGATTTGCATCCAAGAAATCCACGACCAAAGGCTTTGCTTTCCTTAGATTACATTGCTCTGCTGGAAAGTGAGTTGGGAAGCAGGAGCTCTAGCCCAGGATTTGTCATTTCAACACGGCTTGAGCAACTTCTTTGTGCTGCAATTAATCCTCTTAAAAGGATCCATGCTGGGAACTAACTATGCTTGAAGGAGTGTGTGTTTAAAGGAACAAAGCATGCATTTCTAAAAGCAAATATAAAATCACGCGCAATCAAAACTGCCCTGAAGTCACGTCATTGGCCAGCATCTGGGCTCTTGGAAGTTCAAAAGCCCCTAGGTAAATTCTTTGGTTCCGTTTTTCATTGCTGGTATGTGACCTGCAGTCACCAGGGAAGGGTAACAAGATATTTCTCTTGGTTTTTTTTTTTTGCCTACATGGTGCACTTAAATTTACAACAAATAAAAATTTGTCCGCCTATAAATTCACAACAAATAAAAATTTGTCCATCTCACTGCAGTTCCTTCGGATCCCTGCTTATTACTCTAAAGCTGTTTCCAGTAGTCCTGTGACCCCACCCCCGCCAGATTTCCAAATTCCAGACAAACGCCAAGACATCCCATTGTCTGTTCAGCTGAACCCCACTCCGGGTTCCCCACGGTGAGCTCGCAGCCTCCCTGTAGCTGTAAGTTGTACCAGCTCTAACAGAAATTCTCGGCAGTAGCCCTTTGACCCTCCACTGTTGCCCAAGTTTTAGGGGGAAAAGAAGGCAGGCACATCCAGGTTAAGAGGAAAGACGGGGAAAGCCGAATACGGCTGGGGCCTGGGCCCCGAAAGCGCTGGACAGGCCCCAGGAGGCCTTCTGCCCCCACCCGCACCCCAGGCTAGTGTCGCAGCCCCTCTGCCTCCCACTTCCTCCTTCTACTCGCGGTGAGGAATCACGCGCCCTCCTCGCCCCGTCGCGCACCATCCCCAGGAAAGGTAAGGGGTCGACACCCAGGAGTTACCCAAGAAGCCCGAGGGCCAGGCATCGTCGCCTGCCCCGGGAGAGAAGGGCCGGGCCCGCGGCGGGTGACAGGGACGAGGCCGCGGTGTTTGAACCCACGGACGTCTGGAGGCCTCGCTCGGCTCCCGGGGGACAGGAGGCCAGGACTCACCAGCAAGTTGGTGCTGCGATTATCTCCCTCCGCCATCGTCTCCGGGATGCCGTCTCTGTGACCGCAGGGTAGCTTCCAGTGAGACCTCCAACCGAGCCCCGCACGGCGACCACAGCGCGAGGGAACGCCCCGCAGGCAGCTTATATCGGTCGGCCGCCCTTCCCGACAGCCCCCGCGACCCTCGCTCCTCATTGGACAGACCGAGCTCACGCCTCAAGGAAACCAGACCAACCGAAGCTCAGCGCATGGCTTGAAATCGGGGTCAAAGGAGACAGAGGCCGCGCCGGGCCGAGGGGGAGGGGACACGGAGTGCCCAATCAGCGCCCAGGGATTGAGCGACGCCCCGCCCAGGGCTGTAGGAAGCGGTTCAACGGCCGCTGCAGGGGGCGCGGTCCCTCAGTGGTTCCCCCGCTCTGGCTGCTGCGGTGTCTTTGGGCCGCTCTTTGTCCGGCTCTCGCAGCCGAGGAGTCTCACTGGAAAATGGGCTACTCGGAGAGCGATGCTTCGCCGCCTGAGGTGGAGGGCGGAGACGCCGGCCTGCGACACTTTATCTCTTCCTGGCCCCGAGGCGGCTGGGATCCGTTCCACCTCCGGCCCGGTGCCCTAAGCAGGCGCCTGAGCCGTTTAGCCCCGATTTGCGACCCGTGAGGTTTTGAGGACAAGTGAAAAGAGTTCTTTGTGTGGATTTTGCTGCAGTGTTTCTCTCCTACCCAGTAGGAATAAGGCCTGAGCTTGGGAGGAAAAACCCAGGCCTGGTTTGAGAGCGTGTGAAAATGCACCGCCTTCTAAGGGGCTTTATTATACGTGGATGTTTAACTTACTTAAACTGAAAGCCCCCTCTCCAAAAGGATTCTTTTTTTTGTTTCTTTGTTTTTTGAGACGAAAGAGTCTCGCTTCGTTGCCCAGGCTGAAGTGCAGTAGCGCGATCTCTGCTGACTGCAACCTCCATCTCCCGGGTTCAAGTGATCCTCGCGTGTCAGCTTCCCGAGTAGCTGGAATTACAGGCGCCCGCCACCACGCCCGGCTAATTTTTGCATTTTAATAGAGACAGGGTTCACGATTTGGGCCAGGCTACTCTGGACCTCCTGACCTCAAGAGATCCGCCCACCTCGGCCTCCCAAAGTGCTGGGATTACAGGCGTGAGCTACTGCGCCCGGTCAAAAGGATAGTTCTTGACACGACCTTTCTTCCATTAGAGGTCATGGTAAGGAAAGATGTAAACCCTCTCACAAGCAACGGAATTCTTAGGCAGTTTAGGAACTGTGTTGAGGCACTTCTACATCTTTTCTATCCAGGATTTCAAATGCAGTAACAAAGTGCTTTGATTTTTTTTTGTTTGTTCTGAGACAGAGCCTCGCTCTGTTGCCCAGGCTGTAGTGCAACAGCCACCGCGACCGGCCGATTTTTCATCTTTTGATACAAACAGAATCATGCCAAATGTCCTAATCAAATGTTTGTTTTAGGTGAATTAACTGGAGTTTTAACTTCCAACCTTTTATCCTTTTATACAGGTTTTAACTCCAATCTCTTACGGTCATCTGTATTCGGCCATTGAATTTAAATTTATTTTTTGATGTTCCTTAAGTAACCACCAGGTTCTTAAATATTCAAGGAAGTCGTAAATGTGAGAGTGTTTAGCTGCAGACCGCATACTGCCCCGGAGAGCGGGGCAAGGGCAGGCGCATTGTGAATTTCATGGAAGGGTGTCAATTTGCTGTAGGTCTTTCAAGGTGAAGGGAGAGTGAAGTATCTGGATCAGGGAGAAGCACTTGAAAAAGTCTTTGCAAGGAAGGCCGACTATTCAATAAAGTGCCACTTTGGAATGTTGGGGTAAAGAAGTTGTATAGGCAAGATACAGCCAGATGACAGAGACGCTATTTGGAGAGTTTTTAAAGGTATGGAGTCTGAAAAGCAGGTTCTTCTCCATGTACTTAAAAAACAAAAGACAAAAGGGGAGGCGCGGGAGATCCCTTGAGCCCAGGAGATTGAGCTGCAGTGAGCTATGATTGCACCTACTACACTCAAGCTTGGGCGACAGAGCAAAAAACCTGTCTTTAAAAAAAAAAAAAAAAAAAAAAAAAAAAAAAAGACAAAAAGATCGAGGCAATCAGCAGCCACACAGTGAACATGTTGAGCACTGGGTGTGTGATCTTGCTAGACCCACAGTAATAGCCACTTCCAAAGGAGAGGCTATGGGGTTATTAGGGTTTAAAGTGACATTTCTACTTTTGGGAAATCAGCTTTTGCTGCAGAATGCTTCTCGTTTTCACCCAAGTTTTCCATGCACAACTTAAGACTTGTTAACACCAGCTTGTGAAATGAAGGTAGGTGAAAAAAACAGAAGCAACTCAAGCAGCAGTTTCTCCACTTAGTATTTTTTGTTACTTAACAGTGTATTCCCATACCTATTTCTAAATGCACAGCCCTGCTATACGGTCTCTCACTAAATTTCCGATTGGTCGAATTATTAAAAAACACCCACCCTTAACGTAGTTTTCTTTAGAGCTTTTTGTCCTACAGAGACAGGATGTGATCTTTTGAAATGCGCCAGATGACTAAGCAGTTAACACAAATCCTAACATCATCTAGCAGCAACAAATGCAATCTCCAAGATATAAAGCCAAGCTGGACATTTTCTATTTTTTTTCAGAGGTGTCACACTCCAAGGAATGCGCCTATCTGTCAATAATGATCTATGGGAATTTTGTTTTTAAATACTGCCAAAATTAAGCTTTATAAATTGGGCCCTAATACAAAGAATTTACATTGATATCATTGAAGTAAAATTTCTACTGCTTTTCAAAAATACAACAGAAGTTTGAGAGTAAAATAACTACTTTTTTGAGAATTTAGGGGTCTTTTTTGAGGTATTAGCGCTATTCAGAAAAAAAAAGGCTAGGTTTGGCTCGGCTCAGTGGTTCAGGCTTGTAATCCCAGCACTTTGGGAGGCTGAAGTGGGAGGGTAACTTGAGCCCAGGAGTTCAAGATCAGCCTGGGCAACATAGGGAGACCCTGTCGTTTTGTTTTTTCAAGCTACCCAGGTTCCAAAAGGTTCCAAGTTTTCCAAAATCTATTTTGACCAATAAATTCAGAACTTAAATGATGTATCTTTTGAGACTGAACCTTTATTTTCTGAAAAACAAGTATTTCATACAATCTTTGCCATGTTAATGCAAATATGCACAAATTAGGCATGTATTTTTGTTTTCCAAAAGATGCATTATGAACATTTTCAGGAAGCTGGTGTGATTTATTCAACTTTAAAATACAATCACAAAATTATATCCATCAGGAGGCATTACAACCTTTTGTACAGAGAAGCCACTATTTATACATTGTTACTAGGACAAGGAAGATTCAGTTCAACTCAACTTGCTCTTAGAATAAGGGTAAAAAGTAAATTAACAAGTAAGTGAAGTATGATGTTGTTGCCACTGACATTACAGGTGGAAAGATAAGGGAAATTTAAACCAGAAAAATGACACAATAAAGAGGAGCTGAAACTTTGTCAAGAAAAGAAAAAGATATTAGCCTGTTTTCAAAGAAAAACATTCTAAAAGTCTGCAATTCAGAACATAGAATTCTAAGTTTACCATCTTCAAAAATCTACTAAATTGTATGACACTTTACATTAGCGCAGCGAACATCTTTTTCTAAGTCTAGCCAAGTTCCCATGGAAAGCAGAGTACCCTAAGTAGGTCATGTTTTACAACCCTTGAACTTATAAAGCTTTTCTCATTAAGAGTTAGTTTTGCCCTTCTGTAAATAAGGATGGTGATACTGTTAACCAGGTCTAAAAAGCAGGAAGTGCAACAAACCCTTAGGGTTTCATTATACAGTGAATTTTCCCCTCCCCAACGTATGGAAAAATTTGGGACACTTGCTAGTTCTTCCCTGTGGGAGGAATCTAAGACTACCCAAATATTGAAAACAAAATCTACCTTCTTTAACCCTTGCATCAGTAATTCTACCTCCTTGGCTTATGGGGAGGAAAGTCCTAGTTTTAAATTGCTGGCATTTTACAAGCTCAACAAAATATAAAATTGAACACTGGTTTTCATACTCTACTTTTATGTAAAACAAAGATGCTTAAATGTGCTAATAGTAAAGCATTCACTGATATTTGATGTATCTGAATAGGACTAACAGGCTAATTGTAGGTGCTTTCATATGAAAATAATTGGGAGAAAAGAAGAACCAGCTCCTTTGATTTTAGTACTGCCAAAACAAGTAAGCCCCCAGAGTTAATTACAAAAATGTGGAGGAAAATAGGCCAGGAAGACTTTTCAATTTAAAGTACTGCCTATAATACCCCAGATTAAAAAGGACCTAAGATTGCACATCAAGTCTAATATTTGGCTGTACTTGCATTGCCCTGCTCGGCATTTTTAAAAATGGCTCTTTCCTTAAATTTCACACGTCAGAACAACCACAATTAAAAAAACAAAAAACAATGCAGATAACACCAAACATTGGACAATATTAAGAAAACTACTTACTAAGCTTAGAGGCAAGGGTTAAGGGCAGAAGTGATGGAAGTTTTTCTCTGTATTACAAACCCTCACCCTAAACCTGGGGTTTGGGCTCTAAAAAAGTAATGTAGGGAAGCAGATCAAGAGCCTGATTATCAGTTCTCACATGGAAATCTCAACAGATTTCAAAAGCAACTCACCACAAGTGTCAAACACAAAAGAATCTTAATCATCATCTAGCAAACTACACTAAGAACTCAATGACCAAAAATAATCAATCAACTTCAAGACACACCAAAGCAACAGTAAAAGAGAAATAACTACACAAGCTAAGCCTCCACAGCTCTGTAGAGAAATCAACTAACAATTAGGCAATTCTAGTAAATTAAAGACAACAAAAAACTTAAGATTGAACTTCAATTTCCAAGGGTACTCTGAAGAGGTTGTTTGTAGGTTATTCTGTACCCCCTGATTCTTAAAGACAGTGGGGAAGAGGGGGAGGGGACAGAGGAATGGAGGGAAAGGGGGAGGCAGGAGAGAGAGAAAAATAGGAGAGGATCCCTGGTTTTCCACAGGTATTTTGTGTTATCAAAAATGTATGACTTCATAACGACAGCACTCTAACTTTTCTCAGTCTAACTGCTGAGGTCTCTTAAAAAGTTCAAATGGCAAGTCACCTTGTAGAATGACTTAACAGAGGAAGCCAAACGATACAGACCAGGGTCTTGGTCCAGAGTGCAGTAAGGAGCAGGCTTTTGAAGTCATCTATTACATCTGCCTTACAACCAAACCCACTGTGTATGCCACATTATTCTTGGAGGGACCACTTTAAAACAAAAGTGATGGATAATTTACCAGAGGCACATGCTTTTGAAGTAAAACTGTTTTTTGTTTTTGCTTGAGTAAGGTGCCAGGTACCTCTGAAGCCTGAAAACACAGGCAATAAAATTCACCTGTTTATCTTCTTTACCAAAGAGAGAGCAATTTCTGAATGCTATCTATAGTGCTAAACTAATGTGAACTGATTTTATCACTGCGATAAAAGTTTTTCCTTATGATGACAATAAAGAATGTTGCTGAAAGACTTTAATCTTGAGAGAGCAGAGGTAATGTGATGAATGTAATTTGCTCCCAGAGCCTCTAGAAAATAAAGCAGCATGCAAAATACAATATGGCATTATTATTCCAGCTAGGTTGTTTTGTGAAAATAAGGTTCCAAATGAATGAAGAAAACAAAATTTGATGCGCTAGGTTCCTTAACTTGCTATTGAACACATGGGTATTTCAAAAAATCCACCCTGCCTACAATACTTGCTAAAGTATCAAGAAAACACTGATACTAAAACACGTTCTTTCATGGGTACTTAAAGATTATAGATTAACGTGGCAATCAGAATACAGAAAAGGCCCAGAGCTATGTGGAATTTTTTCCTTAATACCTCTCAAGTTTGTCTGTGAAGACTGGCAACTAAAAAGTGACCACTGTCCTAATCTCTAAAATGCAGGGAAAATGTACTCAGACAATTAAGATTATTTTTATTTATTTATTTTTGTCACAGAGTCTCATTCTGTCGCCCAGACTGGAGTGCAGTGGCACAATCTTGGCTCACTGCAAGCTCCGCCTCCTGGGTTCACGCCATTCTCCTGCCTCAGCCTCCCAAGTAGCTGGGACTACAGGCGCCCACCACCACGCCTGGCTAATTTTTTTGTATTTTTAGTAGAGACAGGGTTTCACCGTGTTAGCCAGGATGGTTTCAATCTCCTAACCTCGTGATCCTCCCACCTCGGCCTCCCAAAGTGCTGGGATTACAGGCATGAGCCACTGTGCCCAGCCAACAATTAAGATTTTAATTGTGTTCTCTTTTGTGTTGATACTTGATTTTAAGAACCCTATTCTAGTCTGGGTTTTTATTTTGGATCAGCAATTTAGCTTACACAGTCAGTACTGAAATGCAACGCTAAATTTAAGGAAACCCTTGATCATGAATTCACTATAATGTATTACTGAATGGCAAGCTATTAAAATTGTGCAAAAAGTAAAGCACTTCACAGACTAATAACTGAACTTAATAAAAGATGTTGGTGGATCTCATTTTCACTGTTTCATGTACATGTCCTAAAATGCCAAGTAAACTAAAGAACTTTTAATTTACCAAGTGTAAATTAAAAGCATCAAATGAAAAAAATGAATTTAAAAAAATTTCAGTCTACCTCCACCAGAACATCACTTTATTGTTAATCTATCATCAACAATGTAAAACTCTAATAGATACTCTATCCTGGTTTTTAAAAAGGTAAAAGATTACACTGGATTAGCTACTTTCTATGAAAGAAACTACAGCTATCACAGAAGAGGGAAAATTTGAATGACCTCCAAAAAAAATGCACACTATAAGCAAAAGGGAGCATACATTAAATCAAATGTCTGTTAGATTCATTACTTTTGAATGCACAGTGACAATTCTGGAAACTGTACATGATAGAATCACAGAAATGACTTAAACAACCAGAATTACATTTTGTGTGTGATCATCAGACCTTTAAACAATCCTTGAATTTTCCATGTTATCAGAAGTTGTTAACAGCATCGTGACGAAAGTATATGAAATATAAGGATTGAAATAAAAGTGAATTTGAAAGATGGCTAATCTACTAGATTAGGTAAAGGGGGGGGAATGGGTAAGTGGTGGGGAGGAGTAGGAAACGATGGGGTGGTTTTTTTCCCTTCATTTCAGAAGTTCTTCCACTGTAGTGTATCTGTTACATAGCTCTCCATTTTCAGTCCATTTCTGAAATTCATATCGCATAGCCTTTAGCCTTTTTGTACTTACTGGTCAACCCAACCAGTACTGTTGCCAAGCAACAAGTGTTACACAAGAATCTGAATGCATCAAATCTTCCTTGGCTGTGATTTCTTCGCGACCCCAGTTTTCTCTGTTTCTGAGCGGGGTTTGTTTTTTTCCTGGATTGTACACACAGGGTCAGGTGGAATGGAGTTCCAAATCACTCTGTGCTCCGCGGCATCCCGATTTCTTTCTGCAGCTAACCTCCTGACACGTTTGCTGCTGTTCTGTGGCAGAAAGACAATCTCCGTGTTCAGGCGGTGAGCTTGCTTTCCTTCACCCTTGACCCTGGGGTTGCAGGCCATGGTGTTGGGCGTATCCCTGAGTGCAGCTGTCCTGCAGGATTCACTTCCTAGTGCACCGAGATTTCCTAGGTTTCCTCAGAGTAAGCCCCCAGTTGCATCACCACCGACTGTGGTGTGGCTTTGGATGCCTGAGGCTGAGTTGATTCTGGTGGATGTCTGACCTCGCTTAACCAGACTCATCTACTGACTTGCCATTCACACCCAGGCTGTCCAACCTTCATACAGCTGAGCCAAGTTATCTAGATTAGTTGCTTCCTTAATGACATAGTCAACCTGTAAAAATAGGCAGGATAGTATGTAAAGTCATTTAAAGCTTTTCAGTTGTCTGCTGAATTATAATCAGCAGACAAATTATACCAAAAGTTATGTGCAAAGGATTCCCTATACTTACCCTGCTCCTGTAAGCCCCTGAATTTTCATATAAAATTTAATAACTACCAGAATAAAAAGCACAATAGCCAAGTATACTTTAAAAAGAGAGCTAAGACAGTTACAAAGATATGAAAAGCACACAATCCATTAACCTACCAGAATGTTTATGAAGTAAAAATATCCCTAACTCAGAACATCTTTCATGATTCTTGACAAACTTGACAAAATGGTTTCTTAAAAAAAAAAAAAAAAAAAAATCCTTGCCCAAGAAGAGTTTAAGTCTAGGTCCTATACAAGAACGTAACAGTGTTTAAAAGAAAAAAGAAAAAAAATTCCTTGCTGATGTTAAAATTGAATTACAGATGCCAAACCATCAAACAAGATACTCAGTCTCTTAATTTTTATCCCACAGGAAAAAAATGTACATTTATAATGAAGACATCAAGAGGATACCTCTCTTGACCATATGATCTAACTTATCACCACCAAAGATGGCACAAATTGACATATGTCTCTTGATGTAAAATACTGAGAAAGAAACATCACCGATGTTGTATTCCTTCCAAAAAAATCTTGAATGAATTATGAGGAAAATATCAGACAAATATAAACAGAGGCACATTCTGTAAACCAGCTAATCTAGACAAACCAAAAATATCAAGGGAAGGGAAGAGGGAAAGGCTCAGGAACTGTTCTAGATATTAAAGCAGATCAAGAAGTAGGACAAGGATAGACAGTCCCTGACTCACAGTGGGTCCAAATGACCTTTTTTTTTTTTTTAACTTCACCATGGGTTTATCAGGGTATTAAATGCATTTTAGACTTATAATGGATTTATTGGGATGTCACTCCATCATAAGGGGAGGACCATCTATCTATATGCAAAATGCATGATGATCCTTGACTAGATCCTGAAAGTGGGGGAAAGGGGGGGTTCAGAGAGGAGGAATAAGCAATAAAGAATATTTTGAGATAATTGGAGAAATCTGAATGTGGATTGAATGTTAGATAATAGTATTACATCAATGTTAAGTTTCCTGAGTTGACAATTACATAGTAGTTACAGTATTATAGTATTTTGTTCAAGAGACACACAGTGAAGTTTAGGCATGAAGTGTTAAGATGTCTGCAGAGAACCCTCAAATTGTTCAGAAAACCTGTGTGTACACACACACACAGAACAATGAAACATGGGAAACTGTTAACTGGTGAGTCTAGGTAAAACGTTTATGGGCCTTCCTACAACTTTTCTGTAGCTTTATTCTCAAATTTATATATTCAATATTAGTAACACTGATGAAAACATTTCAGAGTAATGACTTCAGACAAATGTCCCGATACCCAAAGATGCTTTACAAATACAGGTTGAGTATCCCTTATCCAAAATGCTTGGGACCTGTAGTTTTAGATTTTGGATTCTTTGAGATTTTGGAATATATGCATGCATACAATAAGGAACTTAGGGGTGGGATGCAAGTCTATACACGGAATCTACTTATGCCTTATTATTCACATAGCCTGAAGGTAATTTTACACATTTTCAGTAATTTTGTGCATGAAACAGGTTCTGACTAGATTTGCACTACTGGGATCCATCACAAGGTCAGACATGGAATTTTCCACTTATGGCATCATGTCAACACTCAAAATGTTTCAGATTGGGAGCATCTGATTTTCTAATTAGGGATGCTCCACTCATACTACACCTGCAACCCAAAGCATCCTTGGCATTTCATTTGAAACCTTCAACAGTTTTCTTTAAATGAAAACTAATTGTAGTCCGGTGGAGGAGGATCAGACTTATATTTGGGTTAAAACAGGGCTAGGGGAAAGGAAAGTGCTCACAAGGAAGGGTCAGAGCAAAATGGTGACTACTGGACAACGCCAGAGCTGTGTTACTCAAAATCTTCTGAATCCTGAAAACACATTTAAGTTCCTTGATGAACCACTAAGGAAATCGATGAGAGGCATCTTTATACACCTCTACTTTTCCAGCAACATTAAAATGTGTAGCCCAAGTTTAAAACACAGTCACCTGTTCAGCAACTGACATCCTCCTATTCGGATCAACATCTCGGCCCTCTAACTTGGCTTTCACTCTCTTCCACACACTCACTGCATAGGAGTTTCTCTCTTGCACCGCTATGAAGCAACAAAAACATACGTAAGTCAAACCGTCATTTTATAAAAAATTTAAGGCATCTTTATTCTAACTAATTACCTTTCCCAGTTTTAGGGTCTCTGACTGCCTTTTTAGGACTACAAGCAACACTCTTGCCAGTTCCTGGAACGGTGCTTGGTGGAGTATCAGCTGATGTGGCAAGATTTTTCTGGATCAGCTTTCTAGCATTCTGTGACATGACATCAGGCTGAGTCTTCTGGCCAGTGTTACTCCGGACTGCTACAGAGAAAAAGTTGGTGGCTCAATTTACATGTAAACAAAACACGGAGGGGGCAGGGTGGAGCAAGCACGGGATAGGTGGTAGTGTATTTTAATACCCCAAATTAAATAATCAACTATAAATCCTTATCCTTTGACACAGCAATTGTCTTCCTAAAAATATAGCCTAAAACCAGTCAGACATTCAGGTATGAATTTGTACAATTACGTTTACTAGGTTTGGGGCATCAAAAACCATAAATATCAGCTGGGCATGGTGGCTCACACCTGTAATCCCAGCACTTTGGGAGGCCGAGGTGGGCGGATCAGTTGAGTTCAGAAGTTTGAGACCAGCCTACCCAACATGGCAAAATCCTGTCTCTATAAAAATACAAAAATTAGCGGGGCATGGTGGCAGGTTCCTGTAATTCTAGCTACTTGGGAGGCTGAGGCAGGAGAATCTCCTGAACCCAGAAGGCGGAAGTTGCAGCGAGCTAAGATTGCGCCACTGCACTCCAACCTGGGCGACAGAGTGAGACTCATCTCAAAACAAAAACAAAAAACAAACAAACAAAAAACAATAAAATAAAAATAAAAAAATAAAAAATAAAAATAAATTGGCCATTAAATCATTTTTTAAAAGATTATTTAATGACTGAAAAATTATTAACTGGAAAAAGGCAACAACAATTGCACTTGCATAATCATCCCAATGTGTTCGTGTAGGTGTGCATATGCACAGTGAAGTAAATCAACAAATGCAGAGTGGTTTTTGCCTCTATTTGGAATGAAACTACAAATTTTTCAGTTGTATTAAGTATTTTCCTAAGTTTCTCTAACAGATACATATTTTAAAATCATAAAAAAATTTTTAGCCAAGTAGCAGGCACCTGTAATCCAAGCTATTCAGGAAGCTGAGGCAGGAGAATCGCTTAAAACTGGGGGGTGGAGGTTGCAGAGAGCCACAACTGTGCCACTGCACTCCAGCCTGGGCCACAGTGAGTTTTGAGACCCCGTCTTTAAAAAAAAAAAAAAAAAAAAAAAATTTTTTTTAAAGAAAACTACTCAAATGCAAAGCATTTTTACTGTCTCACAAGTTGTTTCATTTTTATGAGACAGAGTCTTGTTCTGTCACCCAGGCTGGAGTATAGTGACGTGATCTAGGCTCACTGCAACCTCTTCTTCCCAGGTTCAAACAATTCTCCTGTCTCAGCCTCCTGAGTAGCTGGGACTGCAAGCATCTGGCACCACACCCAGCTAATTTTTTTTGTATTTTTAGCAGAGACAAGGTTTCATCATGTTGGTCAGGTTGGTCTTAAACACCTGATCTTAGGTGATCCACCTGCCTCAGCCTCCCAAAGTGCTGGGATAAGAGGTGTGAGCCACCTCGCCCAGCCTTTTTTTTTTTTTAATAGCTGTTTGTTTATTTATTTTTAAAGAGACAGGGTCTTGAACTCCTGGCCTTAGGCAATCCTCCCACCTTGGCCTTCAAGTAGCTGGGGGGATTATAGGTGTGAGCCATCATGCCTGGCTCACATGAGTATTTTTAAGGATAAGCTACAATCTGTTCAGTTTAAGACTATAGAATGACAGGCCTTAAGTGTTTCATATTAGACAGCTATGTATAATTAAACATCTTAGCATCTATGTGTAACATTATTAAGAGATCAAGACTCAGGACTCTTCTCCTACCTGCAGCAAAGGATGGCTGATAAGTAGCAGATGACGTTGGACTCGAACATTCATTTGTTGCATCGGTGACTAAGGGTGATGCAAAACTCACTAAATTATTATAGATACTGAAATACAAAATAAAATGGCTTATTTATGAAATGTTTTACCTGATAACTACTTATAAAAATATGAACAAAACTGAAAAATTAAATCAAGAGATAAACTTACTATACCATTAGTTTTGTACTTATGTTTTATAAATTTTGACCAGAAGGCATTCTTACCTCTGACTTTGTGTTTTCAGTTCTTTCAAGGTGGGAGTGATTTCCTGGAGCATTTCAACATGTTCTTGACTTCGAACCTGACCCATAGCCTGGACTAATGTAAACAGAACTGTTTGAATGTTGTCTTGCCATGATTTATATTCACCCAAAAACTGCCTAACACTGTTCTCATAGGGAACATCTTCACCATCCGCCAGAGCAGCTTCTTCATCCTAGAATTGATAATGATTAAGAAAAATAGTTTTAGTATCAGTAATTACTCTCAAGACAGTCATCTAGTGATTAAGAAGTAGCAAGTGTTTCAAATATGAATGTGTTTAAACTGCTTTTTTTTTTTTTTTTTGAGACGGAGTCTTGCTCTGTCACCCAGGCTGGAGTGCAGTGGCCGGATCTCGGCTCACTGCAAGCTCCTCCTCTGGGTTCAGGCCATTCTCCTGCCTCAGCCTCCCAAGTAGCTGGGACTACAGGGACCCGCCACTTCGCCCGGCTAGTTTTTTGTATTTTTTAGTTAGAGACGGGGTTTCACCGTGTTAGCCAGGATGGTCTCGATCTCCTGACCTCGTGATCCGCCCGTCTCAGCCTCCCAAAGTGCTGGGATTACAGGCTTGAGCCACCGCGCTCAGCCTTAAACTGCTTATTATAGTTCAACTCCATTTTTATAGGAACTTCGTTTCCACCATCAAATAAAAATTCAAAGTAAAAGTAAATTCTAAAATTAAATTATTTACTGTTTGTAATAATGAAGTAATAGCCTTTTCTGGAGGCTTAGTTTTCTTACTAACTAGACTATGTACAACACTGGAGGGAAGAGACAACATTTCATTCATTTTGGAGGCGAACTGTATGGGTTTGTTGGTATAGCTAAGAAAAAGGCTGGATATCTGAATTCTCAAACTACGTTCATATCTTGGTTTTATTACAAGTTATATCACAATAAAGGAATCTATTTAAGCCTTAGTTTCTCTGTGTATGAAATTCCAACTACTACTACTAGTTTTAAAAAAATAGTTGATGAAAACACAAGTTAACTCAGTTACAAATAAATTGGAAGATGCGATGAGATAAATTGTTATTTACAAAATGTCACTGCTTTTCCTATAAATAAAACTAGTAAATTTTATAAAAGAGGGACAGGAAATGTGTGTTCATGGTATTAGTCTTACCTTAGCCATAGCTTTCAAGAGATGTTTGACATCTCCAAGCTGTCGGTTATGACCAGTGAGCACAGTCTTTATATTATCAACCAGATTCTGAATTGTGTCACAGACCGTTTCTATCTGCTGCTCTTTCTCTGTCTGAATTGCCCTCTGAGTAGACATATCCTGGGTCAATTGTTTGTGTGCTGACAAAAGCCATTCAGAGCTGCCAATAGGATGTTCAAGACCAGTGTCCTAAATAGAACAAGCATTTGTTTGACTTCGAGTATCAGCTGAAATAATGAGTCCTTTCTTCATTATCATCATCAAAAGATATTAGTAACTCAAGCTGACACAAAGAGAACCTCCATTGCTATGTCATGAATTAATTACCTACAAGTTACTTAACAATAATCTCAATAATCTATGAAAGATAGATGAAGATTTTTACTTTCCCTGCATAATCACACAGGTTATAAATGCTTAAAGTTTAAGACCTGAGAAATACATTTGGAACCACAAAGATGACTGGCAATCCAGGTCCCTAAATTCTAAATAACTCTTCGAGATGAAATGTGAACTTCCTAACATACAACTTTAAGCTTTCTGACCAAATATAAATGTCAAATTTGCCAACTTGCTATTTCTGGCCTTCACTAACCTTTCAAGCATTCATCTTCCATAAGCCCTCTTTCTCCCGCTCTATGTTTTCAGTGCATCGGAATCATTTGCTATATACCGTCTTTCTCCTCCATTCTAAACTTTCATAGTATTTTGGTTGTAGCTCTGAGGAGCCTTTACACTTTCTCATTTTTCATATTTTTAAATATATAATATGTGTCTGGGAAGGGGGGCGGCTAAGAAAATAATTTAATCATCACTGTCCCCCCCCGCCCCCATAACAACCTCTTACATACAGTATATTCTCAACAAATGTAATCTGAATGTATATATTAAATTGATTTTGATAGTATAACGCTAGCCTTAATTTAATCAAGTTTCCTTCCACCAAGACTCACCACTCTCTGTAATAAACGAAGCTCTAACTCAGACACTGAACTGTTAAACTGTGATGCAAACGAACACATCTGCTGACATCGCTTGATTAGTTCAAATAACGCCGCATCCAGGTTTAAGGCTTCTGCAGTTCTTGTTCGTAGACTTTCAAAATGAATGATATTGCTGCAGAGAAAAGTGACCTGTGAAGACAGAAATGGAACCACAAGAGGAGATGGGGGGAAGGTGGGAAAGGGAGGTGGCAATTAATAACACGAAAAAATACTACTTTCTCATTTTGAGAATTCAGGACCAGAATTAGTGCTGAAAATGTTTGGGAAATAGACCAAAACCTTATAAAGGTTGTAAATAAACGTACATTTATATTTATACTGTTAGGTCTGAGATGGCCAAAAGCACTGACGAACAATTAGGTAAATGTATCTTCTACGTTACTTACTGTTTTTACATAGAATATTTACTTCACAATAAAGCTGTTATCATATTTAGCTGCAATTTGTGTTACATCCACAATTCAGAAGACACTTCCGTCAGAATGTTCCCCTTCTGCTTCTATTCTTGCCTAACTTATCTGGCAATATTAAGCTCATCTTAAAGGTATGATTAATATTGTGGTGGTTAGTTTTTTTTGTTTTTTGTTTTCTTTGAGACAGGGTCTCCCCTGTTGCCCAGGCTGAAGTACAGTGGCTTAACTATGGCTCACTGTAGCCTTAGACTCCTGGGCTCAAGCAATCCTCCCGCCTTAGTCTCCCAGGTAGCTTGTCTTCCAGCTGGGACTAGAGGTGCGTGCCACCATGCCTAGCCAAAAAAAAAAAAAAAAAATTTTATTGGCCAGGTGTGGTGACTCACACCCATAATCCCAGCACTTTGGGAGGCCGAGGCCAGCGGATCACCTGAGGTCAGGAGTTCGAGACCAACCTGGCCAACATGGTGAAACCCCGTCTCCACTAAAAATACAAAAAAATTAGCTGGGCATGGTGGCAGGTGCCTGTAATCCCAGCTACTTGGGAGGCTGAGGCAGGAGAATTGCTTGAACTCTGGAGGCAGAGGTTGCAGTGAGCCAAGATCACACCACTGCACTACAGCCTGGGCAACAAGAGCAAAACTGCGTCTCAAAAAAAAAAAAAAAGAAAAAATTTTTTTTTGGTAGAGACAGTATCTTACTATGTTGCCCAGGCTGGTTTCGAACTCCTAGCTTCAAGCCATCCGCCTGCCTCAGACTTCTGAGTAGCTAGAGCTAAAGGGACATACCATGCCCAGCTATGATACATTCTTAAATAGTTCTTAATAGGTATATACTGAAAAATTTATAGACAAAATTATGTACTATTTGGGATTTCTATTAAATATGGATGGAAAGGAGGATTAGGGAGTATGGGTGAAATAAGATAGGACTTAAGTTGAGCATTATTAAGCATTGGTGACAGGTATGAAATATGAGTATCATGTATTACTCCAATTTTGTACTTAGTCGAAAATGTCCATAACAGTTTTTTTGGTTGTCCTCCCCCTGCCCAATCCACAGCCTCTTGACAGGGAACAAGACTTTCCTTTTTTTTTTTTTTTTTTTTTTTTTTGGAGACAGAGTCTTGCTCTGTCACCCAGGCTGGAATTCAGTGGCACGATCTTGGATCACTGCAACCTCTGGCTCCCAGGTTCAAGCAATTCTCCTGCCTCAGCCTCCTGAGTAGCTGGGACTACAGGCACCCGCCACGACACCCAGCTAATTTTTTTGTATTTTTAGTAGAGATGGGGTTTCCCCATACTGGTCAGGCTGGTCTTGAACTCCTGACCTTGTGATCCGCCCACCTCAATCTCCCAAAGTGCTGGGATTACAGGTGTAAGCCACGGTGCCTGGCCGACAGGGCACAAGGTCTTAAGACGTTTTTATTGTCATGTGGAAAAAATAATATTCAAAGTACCTTTCCAAATCTTTGAATTGCTTTAGTCGTATAAAAGAGAACCAGAGAATCTTAAACAAATATGAATTTAAAACTTCTTTATTTTTCAACAGAGGCTGAATTTATTTAATTAACATTTAAATGGGAGGCAGTAAAGGCCCAGGGAAATAACCTGCTGTAGGTTCAACTTAAGGCATGCCCTGAAAGGCCCATCAGTCCCTCCTCCTGGTGCTGTGAACCAAAATGTGGGCTCTCAAGCTCCCCTGATAACCCCACATATAATTTCCGGCTACTCATCTAATCCTGTAAGTGAATACAAAGATAGTGCATGTAAGTCACAATACCTGACTTGCTCTTTGGCTCTCTTTAAGGACAAGATTTCTTCTTTCAGCTATCGTTGCTTCAAAATCTTGTAATACAGGGGCCAATGCAGGGTTGGCACCACCTGCCCACTTGAGTCGCTGTTCAATACTTGCTTCAAGTGCTGCTAGCTTCTCCTATAAAAGCCAACAGAATCTTGGTGAATGTATATGACATTCTCTACTTCCTATCTGTGGAGTATTTTATATAACACAATAAAGATTCAAAAGAACCAGGGTGGACATATATAATTTAGAAAACAAAGCTTTAACAATCACCTTTTGGAATTAACCTTGATTTCCCTTTGAACATTTAAGGCCAAACATGTATGGAGAGAGAGGCAACAACTGGCTTTCAGTTTATTATCTTAAAATGTACAGAAGGAAGTTTCACTTTCATTTTAAAATAAAATGATCTTTAAAAAATAAAAAATCTGCTACACCAAACTCTTTTTTTTTTTTTTTTTTTTTTTTTTCCGAGATGGAGTCTCACTCTTGTCACCCAGGCTGGAGTGCAGTGGTGCAATCTCCGCTCACTGCAACCTTTGCCACCTGGGTTCAAGCAATTCTCCTGCCTCAGCCTCCCGAGTAGCTGGGACTACAGGCACCTTGTCACTGCGCCTGGCTAATTTTTGTAGTTTTAGTAGAGACGGAATTTCACCATCTTGGCCAGGCTGGTCTTGAACTCCTGACCTCGTGATCCACCCACCTCAGCCTCCCAAAGTGCTGGGATTACAGATGTGAGCCACCACACCCGGCCACAATCTTGGCTCACGGCAACCTCTGCCTCCTGGGCTCAAGCCATCCTCCCACCTCAGCCTCCTGAGCAGCTAGGACAAGAGGTGGGTGCCACCATGCCCTAACTAATTTTTTGTATTTTTTGTAGAGACAAGGTTTTACTATGTTGCCCAGGCTGGTCTCAAACTCCTGGCCTCAAGCAATCCACCCGCCTCGGCCTCCCAAAGTGCTGGGTTCATAGGCGTGAACCACCATGCCTGGCCAAGTTTACAAAAATAATGGTAAAAATCCATCCAGATTATCATGACAAGAAAGTTTCACGTAACAAAGTTATCTGATTATTTATTCAACATTTCAGGTGGACACATTCACATTTTCTCTCCCCAACTCCCTCTACTTTCCTGCATGTCCATGTCTCTAAAATCATTAAGAGGAAGAGTTCATTCTTGTAAGTTGAAAACACATCTTTTCTCTGACCAATACACTGTAGAGAAAGCTCATTTCAATCTTCAAATGACTGAGCTCCAAAAAAGCTTCATTACAAAACTTTAAAACATCACAGAATTATACTTGATTTTATACTGCTATTAATTTACAAAAACAGAAAAATGTCAGTTACTACTGAGTACATGAAGTATAAAGGACAGACAATATAAAGATATATATAACTTTCATTAAGGCAAGTTTCTCTTATGTAAAAAAATAAGTAGAAGGATTATGTATACAGCTTTCAATATCCAGGCAATATAATAGTTCAGAAAAATACTCTGCTGCCTTAGGCATCCCAAAATTCCATTATCTATACAACATAAGAAATGCCCATGCTTCTTAGCTACCACTATTATTAAACAAAATAGAACTATTTATATACATTTCACAAAACAAATTCAGTATTCAAAGTTTTTCTAATCACCAGTTTCCTTAATGTATCAAGGCACAGTAATTATCAAGTTCATTAAAAACCTGAGATATTTAGTATGTTTCTACTCCTGGTTCAAAATATACCTGTTACTATAAGACTCAGTTACCTTGGAGGGTAAGAAATAAAAAATAGAGGCCGGGCGCGTTAGCTCATGCCTGCAATTCCAGTACTTTGGGAGGCCAAGATGGGCAGATCACCTGAGGTCAGGAGTTCGAGACCAGCCTGGCCAATATGGTGAAACGTTCTATCTACCTAAAATTAGCTGGACATGGTGGTGCACGCCTGTAGTCCCAGCTACTTAAGAGGCTGAAACAGGAGAATCGCTTGAACCCGGGAGGCAGAGGTTGCAGTGAGGTGAGATAGTGCCACTGCACTCCAACCTGGGCGACAAAGTGAGACTTTGTCTCCAAAAAAAATGTGTGTGTGTGTGTGTGTGTGTGTGTGTATAAATTAAAAGCAAAAGTGAAAAAAATTATGCTCTTCTGGCTTACAAACCAAGGACACATACAACAACAGAGCACTAACAATCGTAGCGTTGGTTATTTCTAAAAGGAAGATGCCCTGGAAGGAAGATCTGGCAAAACACACCTGAACTGTTGCAATAGAAGTTTCAATTTGGCTCAGGGTATGCAGTTTCTTTTTCATGCTGGTTAGGATAGCAGACCGTGGGGGAGGTGTGACTGACATGGCTTGTGGTCTATTGATAAGTAGATCTTCATGTTGCCACTGTTCAAAGAAAAAGAAATGTAATAAAATCAGCAGGAAAAAAGCATTTCGATAAATAAGGAAAGGGAGGTGCAACCTAGGACTGGTGGAAGAGAAAAAATCCCAGCTGCAGCCAATGGGAGGTAAGCAGGGAGAAGTAACAGAAAAGACACACTGAAAACAATCACATCCAGGTGAAAGTCTTCTTGAGGTGGAACATAGCTAATAAATTTCTTGGACCACTCACATGCAACATTTAAATAGTAATTCTGAAGATGTTAACTACAGTTAAGGAAATCAGAGCTTAAGGAAGTTAAGTACAAGTTTATATACCTAAGTCTGATTTAAATACAAATCCATCTCACCCCAAAGCTGTGCTGTCATACATTATACATCCCCTAAGTAATTAAGGCCAAAACTAGGCTTCTAAAAACCATTTCCAAAATAAAGACAGATTTATTCCCAAAGCTGTTTATCACATGAGTAGGGCATCAAGGAAAATAAACTACTTTAGAAATAAAGACGGGAAGCACACCTACATGTGAATGAATTCAACATTAAAAACTATATTTATGCCAGGCACAGTGGCTCACACCTGTAATCCCAACACTTTGGGAGCCCAAGGCGGGCAGATCACCTGAGGTTGGGAGTTTGAGACCAGCCTAACCAACATGGAGAAACCCCACCTCTACTAAAAATACAAAATTAGCCAGGCATGGTGGTGCATGCCTGTAATCCCAGCTAGTCGGGAGGCTGAGGCAGGAGAATCGCTTGAACCCAGGAGGTGGAGGCTGCGATGAGCCAAAATCACGCCATTGTACTCCAGTCTGGGCAACAAGAGCAAAACTCTGCCTCAAAAAAAAAAAAAAGCAGTATTTAATACAGATCATGCTTATCACACAGCCCTGATGGAAAGAAATTCTAAGGACACAAAACCATAGAGGATAAACGATCTCAACTATACAGAAGAGAAACAAGTATCATTGGGAAGAAACTGCCAAAATGCAATGGTGTGTTTGCACTGGGTTGGCGTAAGTTCAGGAAGTTTTAAAAAATTTTCTGTGTATTGTTTTATATTAATTTCTCCCGTTTTTCAAGTTTCCTACCTTGAGGAAAAACACATTATAATGAAAAACACTTACCTGAAACATGGCAATATGCAGCTGAACTCGCTGCAGGCTTGTCTTACAAGAAGAAATACTGGTTTCCAGCCTTCGCACCAAGTCATGCTTCTTCCAGGCAGTGTCATAAGAACTTGCTAACACGGTTGCCCTGTTCATAACCAACTGAGAGAATTTCCCAATCTGGATGTTATGTTCCACCGCTTTCTTACAGAGATCATCAACAGAAACTTTGCTTTCGGCACCAAAGTCCTTTGCCTCTACTTGAGCAATGATGTCTACACCCAGAGCACTGATAAAACTGCACAGTGTGAGTCCGAGGGCTTGGTTAGGTAGTCCTATCAAGAGCTGCCTCACAAAGTCAGCCGTGAATGCCTTGATAGGTTTGGCCATTTGGTCTTCACTGAAACAAGAGTTTCTAAAAAGGGTTTTCACATTGACAATCTGTACAGGCCCATTCACAGTATTCTGATCTTCAAGTGAACTTGATCCTACAAAAAGGAAAAATTTCTTATAAAGTATTTCATGAAAAAAATCAAGTAATATGCCGTTTATTTATAGTATTTAAGGTGTCATGAATGTATAATTAAATTAAGCCTACTCTACCCTGCCCCCTTCCATAGTGCTACATAGCTAAAGCTAGCATGTTTACAGGTAGAATATTACCTGACAATGTTTTAGAAAAGGTACCACAGAGCCTGAAGAACTCCTTAATCGTCTGTAGTCTTTTTAGAAAGAAAATCTCTTCTAGCACTTGCCGGTGATTATCATCATCAAAAAAATTAACTTGAGTACTCCTGGCTTCCCTTATGATGTCAATCTTTCGCCAAGCTATAGGAATTTCCATCTTGTTCAACTATGTAAATGAAAGAAAACAAAGTTCATTTCCCCACTCTTCACACAACTGAACAACTACTTTATGGCACTTGCATTACTTTTAAATTCAAGTCCACATTTACCTTTTCAACTAATAAGCCGAAAGCAGTTTCAACTTGAGCAAACATGCCATCGAATGCTACCAAAAGCATCTGGCCAGCTGACATTTTGGGTGTTTCTTCAACTGAACCATTTCTTGGTTGGATTAATTCACCATACTGAGCATGTAGTAGTCTACAGGAAAACAAAGGGAGTTAAAACCTTCGCTGAAAAGTAATGCCTTTGGTAGGAACATAAAAAGTCAGTACATCTCACAGCTGCATGCGAACTCTAGAAAGCCTTCTGGCATTAAGAAGAAGTGTTATTAGGCCGGGTGCAGTGGCTCACGCCTGTAATCCCAGCACTTTGGGAGGCCTAGGTGGCCGGAACACCTGAGATCAGGAGTTCGAGACCAGCCTGGCCAACATGGAGAAACCCCGGCCAACATGGAGAAACTCCGTCTCTACTAAAACTACAAAAAAATCAGCCGGGTGTGGTGGTGGGCACCTGTAATCCCAGCTACTTGGGAGGCTGAGGCAGGAGAATCACTTCAACCTAGGAGGTGGAGGTTGCTGTGAGCCAAGATCACGCCATTACACTCCAGTCTGGGCAACAAGAGCGAAACTCCATCTCAAAAAAACAGGAGTGTTATGATGATAAAATGGTATTTCATGTCAACCACAATAGGATTTCAATGATTCCAATTCATTATTAATGACTGTTATGTGATTAAATTTTATGCAAACTTGAGTGATTAGTCTCACTTTTACACACAAAATATGAAATAATGTAAAATCCCATATTGAAAATGTCAGAAATCACACCATTCTAAAGCTGGTGGACCTAGTAAATTGTCAAGTATGTTCACAATACTACTGTAAGATACGATACAACAAACTCTACTTGCTGTTTTGGGTATACTTGGTTTTTATGCACATTTTGAATGTAAGGTCTTCAGAAATTCACCCCTCACATTACCATTAAGACTTATATAGTGCTTAAGTATCCAGGCACTATATCTTACCACACACACACACACACACACACACACACACACAGAAATCATTCCAGATGGCTGGAACTATTAAGAATTTTTAAGAGAATTAAAAATGTCAAGCTACCAGATAAATGTCTAATGGAAAAATTGCTGTAAGATGGTATGAGATTTTCCTTGAGATTACCCAAAAAAAGCTTCTCTGAAACAAGGCACAGACAGGCTGCCATAGATCCAGGCACAAAGCTTGTTACCCAAAGTACACATTTAGGTAAACATTCCTCTGTATGAGGATAAGGCAAATCCAGATAGGATATTAAGAGAGAGAAAATGAAGTCTGAAATTCAGTGCAAAACAAAGATGTACAGATCTAGCATTTAACTTTTTAAATACTGCTAAAAATTATATGATAAAGCTGTTCTACAAATAATCTAAATTGCTACTTAGCTAATATTTGTTTATGCTATTAATGATTACACTTTTTCTAGCTGGGCAAGGTGGAGTACGCCTACAGTCCCAGCTACTCGGGAGGCTGAGACAGGAGAATCCCTTGAACCCAGGAGGTGGAGGCTGCAGTGAGCTGAGATCGCACCATTGCACTCCAGCCTAGCAACACAGCGAGACTCCATCTCAAAAAAAATATATATATATATATGAATATATATTTATGAATATGTATGTATATATTTCTTATTCTATGAATATAACCACTCCAAAGAAACATGAGAAATAGGAAATTTCTGAATGCAGGATAATTAACATTAAGGAATTATTGCTACTTTTTTCGTGAAATAATGACACCACAGTCAAGAAAAGTAAGATCATATATATATACACACACACACACACACACACACACATATATACTTCTTGCATTATTAATATTTAAGAATGAAAAAAATATTTGCTTCAAAATAACTAGGATAGTAAATTTAAACCAGACTAACCCAGTGCAGATAATTACCAAAGGTGGTGACATGGGGTTCATTAGAAATCTATTCTCTCTACTTTCTTGTATCTTTGAAATTTCCCATGGGAGGAAACGGTGCTACAATCCATTTCTGCTCTCTCAATTATACTTCTTTTGTGAATTAGACATTGGAATGCCAAAGAAAAGAGGCCCTGAATCACTAGGGACAAAGGAGCTTAGGGCTTAGCTCTGCATACAATGCATGCCTGGAGGAACTGCCCAAACTCTACAGATTTCAAAGTCAGATTGCTTTTCTGGACTGAGATGAAAAATACTATATTCAATTAGCTAAAACAAACTTACAATATTTAAACTAATTTAAAAGTATTCACCTGAAATGAGGTGTATACTCTGTTAGCTAAATAAAATGTCTCAGGTGCCTCCACAGGGTTCTATAAGATGGCTTAAAAAATATCATGTTTGACTGTGTGTATGTACATGTATGTAACCACAAGCACTAAAAGGATATATGTATCTATGTGACTGAACTATACACTTGCACACACGCACACACACAAGTGAGTGCATATATAACTAGTGAAATCTGAGTAGGCAGTGTGGACTATATCATTGTCGGTTTCATAGTATTGCTATAGATACTAACATTGAAGGAAGGATGAAGCATGCACAATACCTGCCTGCACTTTTTTTTAAAGCAACTTCTTGTGATGTATAATCATTTCAAAATAAAAAAGTTTTACAAAGATATGTGTACGAGCATTTATAAGTAATTATACCTGCTCTAAAAACTAAAAGTAAACTTACGGTAAAGAGCTCAGAATCCCTTTCTCTGGCTGTCCCATCTCTTTTACGAGGAAACGGCACAGCCAGCATTCACTTGCCTGGCAACATCGATGTAATGAGCATGTGTTTCTTCTTCCAGTCCCATAGCTGCATTTCTTAAGTAGGCCTGAAGAGATTCCACTAGAGTCTGCAGGGGAACGCCATCGGTGGTCTGCTCAATAAGACCGTCCAGTTCATGCAGCATACTTTCTAATGTGTATTCCCCTTTCATTAAACATCGAAGTGCTTCTGGAAATATGATTTGCCGGAAATTTGAATTCAATTCCTATAAATAAATGAGAAAAAAAATTTTAATGTTTTCTGAGTTTAGCTAAGTTACATATTTGGAGACTTAGAGCCATATATTAAGAGCAAACATATGTAACTATGCCATCAACTCATTCATGTAAGTACATCTTTTGTTTACTTTTTATTTCTACTTTTAAAAATTTTCTTTTTAAATTGTTTTGTAGTCGTGTGAAATTTTTCAGGAACTATTTCAAATGACTTTAAAAAGTTATATAATTAAACATTCCTAGGATGATGTACCTTAAGAACAAAAAGAACTATCCTAAAGTCTGTTATATAATGTTACTAATTTTTAGGAATCATATTTCCGATAGTGATATTAGTATTGTTATTCTCTTTTTGGTTTGGTTATAAGTGGCTTCTATTTCCCTTCAAAAAAAAGTCCTATCAAGGTATAATTTGCACATAATAAACTGCACGTTTTAAACATATAATTTGGTATACTTTGGTACTTGCATACACTCATGAAACTGTCACCACAATCAAGAAAATCAGCATACCGATTACCCTACAAGTTTCCTCCTGACTCTTTTTCATCTCTCTCACTCATACTTCTCCATATCACCTCCTCCACTTCCAGGTAAACACTGATCTGCTTTTTATCCTATTATAGACTCTCCATTTATAGGGGTAGAAATGTCTAGCTTTCTTTACTCAGCATAATTATTCTGAGAGTCATACATGTGGCTGTATGTATCAAGGGGTCATTCACTTTAATTGCTAAGAAGTATTCCATTATGTGGATGTACCACATTTTATTTATCCATTTGCTTATTGATGAACTTTTGATTTGATTCCAGTTTTTGACTACTACAAATAAAGTCGCTATAAAAATTCAAAAAAACAAAGAGCAACTGTAACCAAGTTACAGCTATAAACCTCACAATTATCTTTCCTTTAAATGACTGGCTGAGTAACAAAAGTGGAAGTCAAATTGTTTTCCTGGATTAAAGAGATGAGAAAGACAATATTCAGTATCTAAAACAAACTAATATTTAAAATAAAAGTGCTCACCTGAAGTGAGGTATACACTCCATTGGCTAAGTGAACTGTCTCAGACGCTTCCATGGGGTTCGGGATGTCTAAGTCCTGTGGCACCAGGTGGCACTGCTTCAGTAACTGAACCAAGCAGGTGACGTTTCCGCTCATACTGCAGAGTTCCTCCAAGAACCAGGCTCCATCCCGAGAAGTCAGATCAACCAGCTGTTCTCCAGCACTTGACGCTGCACCTTCCATCATCAGGTTACGCCTACAAGAGATAAATATCTGTATAGTGAAACTTAAATGTATACACAAAACAAGGTAATTGGCCAGGTCAAGGCCATGCCTGTAATTCCAGCATTTTCGGAGGCCGAGGTGGGTAGATTACTTCAGGTCAGGAGTTTGAGAGCAGCCTGACCAACATGGCAAAATCCCATCTCTACCAAAAAAATACAAAAATTAGCCAGGAGTGGTGGCACACACCTGTAGTCCCAGTTATTCAGGAGGCTGAGGTTGCAGTGAGCCGAGATCGTGTCACCGCACTCCAGCCTCGGCGTCAAGAGTGAGACCCTGTCTCAAAAAAAAAAAAAAAAACCACGAAGATAACTGAAATCTGAAAAGCAAGCAAGCAGCTGTAACACTGGGCAAGACTAAGGAAAGCAAAAGAACATTTTAGGTTTGGGATTAAAAATAAGACACAGGAAATGGTCCAATATGAAGTTGGCTAACTCACCTTGTAAGGGTACAAAGGGCAGAAATAATAACACTTGCTAGACTCAAAGATCCTTCTTCTCCATTCTCATGAAGGAAAACTTTAATGCAACGTTCAATTTCTTTCAACTGATCTTCACAAACTGGCACAGTGACAGCTTCCTGTTTTAAGCGTTCCACTTGTCTAATAAGTCTGCTGTTGATGTCTGCTGCATACCGCTGCAGGGTCATTTCAGTGGCAGTGATGAACTGACACACTGTTGGGGGTGGCTGGGGAGCATACTGCATTTCATATCTATAAAAATAAGAAAGAGGTGCTTGTTTTAACACAACCACCCCCAACATACAAAAGAATATTGTATTTAATCCTCAAACAAACCTTGAAAAGTAGAAATCATTATTGACATTTTACAGATGCTTAAGCAATTTCCTAAGAGGACTTGTTGGTGACTGTGACAGAATCAACATTTGAGTCCAGGCACTATGGCTCATACCCCTGTAATCCTAGCACTTTGGGAGGCCAAGGCAGGAGGATCGCTAGAGCTCAGGAGTTTGAGACCAGCCTGGGCAACATGGCGAAACTCCATCTCTACAAAAAAATATAAAAGTTTTTCAGGCATGGTGACACACGCCCATGGTCCCAGCTACTTGGGAGGCTGAAGTGGGAGGATCACCTGAGCCCAGGGAGGTCGAGGCTGTAGAATACAACTTTGCTTCCACACCCAACAAGAAATAAAACTGGCCAGGCACAGTGGCTCACACCTGTAATCCCAGAACTTTGGGAGGCCCAACCAGGCAGATCACGTGGTCAGGAGTTCAAGACCAGCCTGGACAATTTAGTGAAACCCCATCTGTACTAAAAAGACAAAAATTAGCCAGGCGTGGTGGTGGTGTAGCTCCAGCTACTTGGGAGGCTGAGGCAGAAGAATCGCTTGAACCTGGGAGACAGAGGTTGCAGTGAGCCAAGATCATGCCACTACACTCCAGCCTGGGTGACAGAACGAGACTCCGTCTCAAGAAAAAAAAGAAAGAAAGAAAGAAAATTAAGCACTATCAACTTACTTCCTGTAGAGCTCTTGACAACGCTCTACTGTGGTGTTACAGATGAGCTCTTCCATCCAGGTCTTCCACTGTTCAATTCGATGTTTCTGAAATATGGCCTTTGGATACTGCAGAGCCACGGTTGCATAGTGATGCAGTTGTTCCAGACAGCCACGGAGCACAGAGCGCCTCTGCTGCAGGAGAGCACCAACCTCCCCCTCCAGCTGCTCGCACTGGCTAATCAAGTGGGCCTGGCCAGCATTCTGCAGAAAGGCTGTTGCTGGCACGTAACTTGGAGGACCTTTTGGTAAAAGACAATATTAATCACAGTAAAACAGTGCCAAGTCAGCTGTCACTAAAAGCAAGCACAAACCAGGACCCCACACAAAAACATGACTATAAAACTCAGAGTTTCACATGTGAATCTATAATAAGTCAACCCATACCAAGGTCCATTTGTGTGCTTATCTCTTGAAGTAAGCTTGCAAGCTGTGTTGCTTCTAAATTATTGAATGCAGCCTGATAATGTGTTATCCACTGTTCAAATTCATTCAGCTTCACCTGGATTGCTTCCTGAACAGCTCTTTGCTGAGTCTGTAGTTGGGTGTGTTCAGAATACCTAATCAGGGGGACACAAACAAAGTCAAATGATTTACTGATGTTTTCTTCCACATACTTTCCTACCCTGGAATGTGCTCACACATGGACTGTCCGGTATGCTCCTTGTCCATCTTGAGGGCCCCCTTCGAATGTCCCTTACTTCTCTGTTTTTCCTGACCCTGTGATTCTCTCAACTATGCTCACGACATTTTAATTAAAACTACCACATCTGCCAAGTTTTGGGTTCCCTGAAGGTTAGAAACTGATGCTTGACAGATCTTTGTAATCTGAGAGCCTCACGCAATGCTTAACACTTTCATATTCAACTACCCTTTACTGAGCACCTGCTGTGTATAAGATTCTTTCAGTTAACCACCCTATTTAATACTTAACTCAGTGAGGTAGATGAAGTAGCTGCCATTGTACAAATGAGTAAGGACTCAGATACAATAATGGTAATAAGAAAACCAAAACTCAGATTTTCTGATTCAAAGTTTTGTGTTCTAACCACTACACCCACCTATCTCCCATAATTAGTCATTCAAACAATTAAGTTAAATAAAATCAAAGCAGAAAATTTCAGTGAATTTTTGTTTACTAACACTTTGAAGTTGCAGTCACTGAGACAGCTTTTATCATTTACGTGAGCTGTTACAGTAATTCTAATCCCTATTGATAATGTTTATATAAATATGAAAATTCTAATTAATGGCACATATTTAGAAGAATTCAACACTGTTTTAAACCTGTGTTGCAGAGTGTGAGAAGGATGATCCACCCCTTCAGCTCCTTCTAGAAACTCTATTTCCTCCAGTAGTTTGCCCTGCAGTTTTTCCACATCTGTCAGTTGCTCCTGCAAGCTTAGGTATTCATCTAAGCTACTGTCCAACTTGGGAAGCACAATCAGCATCTCATCTCTATTCTTAAACCAGTTCACCTGTAAAAAGATATTACAATTAGGAAGATTCTTACAGGGCCTATTGTGAGACATGACAGCATCAGAAAAACAAAACTCTACAAAACCCCAAAGGGGTGATGCATTGCCTCCACCGTACAAAGACAACTAACGTGTTCAAGTTTACACAGGCGTAAACTGACAGGCTCAATCTCATAATACTATGTATTAAAAGTTGCCAATGTCACCCAGAACAAGATTGGCGTCCCTGGCTACCAGATGGGGAAGGGAAGCTACCCAATTAAAGAACATTTACAGTCATCACTGGTAAACATCATTTCAATAATTAAGAAATATAATTTTTTCAAATCACGAACCCACCTCTTAGGAGTGTGGAATGTAACTGTGCATGTTTGTGTGGAAGAATTACCTAATAAAAAGATAACATCAAATTGCCACATTTAACTGCCATTTCAATATTATACATTAGTCTTGCCAAAAAATTAGAGAAACAATTTGACTCAACATTTTGATGAGCATGTTTACTCTATTAATAAAAAGAAGACAAGGACTTATTCTGTCACTGGGCTTCACCTTAATCTCAGCTACTCTGGAAGAAAACAGGCTGCGGGTGATCTCTCGCTCCATCTCTCTCTTGCTCTGCTTGCTCTCGGCCTGCTGGCCGCCTCCACCATAGACAGCACCAGCAAACCCCGCCTCGCCTCCTGCCGTCCAGTCTACCAGAGGGTCGTACACAAAGGCCTCCAGCAGCGTCAGCAGGGTTTCTCTGCCACGCCGCATAATGTGTAAAACCTGTTTTCAGGAGAGTTTTTAAAATAAGGTCTGCCACAAGTTTCATCACTAAAGTGTGTTTTTCATTCCATAGGTTTTGCTTATTTAACAAGTACACTAAAAGGGAGAAGAGAAAACAGCATACCTGCTCACATGAAAGCCTAAATACACCTTCTACTCCAGTTACACCCAGTGCTGTTTCAATGTTTTGTGTCATTCGAAAAGGTACTTTCTCAGGAACTCTAAGGCTTTTACCTTGAAAAGACAAATCATTATATTTTTGCCCATTCACCAAAAAACATTTGGCCCTCATAAATGTAAAGTTTACTTTTATTTTACCTTTTTCAAAGCAAACATTGTAATCTATGTGAACAACTTCTCCAGTCGTCATATCTATGAGAACGTTATCCAGATGTCTGTCTCCAAGGCCAATTATGTATCCAACCATAGACATGACTGCAGTAGATCTTGCATAAGACTAAAGGAAAGGAAATGGGGGCAGCAAGCGAAACATCATTAAGAAATTCCCCTCCAACATGGACGTGATACTATAAAATTTACAAAGCGCCATAAACCTACCCCTTAGTTTAAAATAAATCAGCAAATAAAAAGCATTCCTCAAGGTTGCTGCATGTGGTCATGCAGGCATACAACACTGTAGACCTGATTGGTACTAATCAGCTATCAGGATGCTGGATTAAAAAAAAAACACAAACAAAAAAACTTTTCTTTAGCCTTCCTAGTTTGTCTCTTTCTAAATTTTTTATTCTTTTCTTTTTTTTTTTTTTAAAGACAGAGTTTTGCTCTTGTCGCCCAGGCTGGAGTGCAGTGGTGCAATCTCGGCTCACTGCAACCTCCACCTCCTGGGTTCAAGTGATTCTCCTGCCTCAGCCTCCCGAGTAGCTGGGATTACAGGCACCCGCCACCATGCCGGGCTAATTTTTTTTTTTTTTTGTATTTTTAGTTGAAACAGGCTTTCGCCATGTTGGGCAGGCTGGTCTCGAACTCTTGACCTCAGGTGATCCACCCATCTTGGCCCCCAAAAGTGCTGGGATTACAGATGTGAGCCACCATGCCCAGGCTCTTTTTTTAAATTTAAATATTGATTAAAAAAATTTTTTTTCCTTCCAACTTTTTATTTTAGGTTTAGAGGGACACGTGTAGGTCTTTACGTGGGTAAACTGCATGTCACTGGGGTTTGGTGTACACATTATTCTGTCACCCAGGTAGTGACCCAACAGGTATTTTTTCCTACCTCATCTCCCTACTGCCCTCCACCCTCAAGTAGGCCCCAGTGTATGCTGTTCCCTTCTTTGTGTCCATGTGTGTTCAATGTTTAACTCCCACTTATAAGTGAGAACATGCGGTATTCGGTTTTCCGTTCCTGTGTTAATTTACTTAGGATCTCCTTTTCATTTCATCCGTAACTCTTTCCCCATCCTGCCCTCGGACATAGTCATGTTCATGCCTTTGTAACTGTAATATTAAACTCAAATATAGGTCTGAAACTACCAAGTCTGGAGGGACAGAGGAAGGAAGGGAAGGAGGACAAACAAGATAGGTAAGAAGGTAGCAGACAAAAGAAATACTACTGAGTATAGTCTAAAACAAAGCACATACCTGTGTAACTCTCCACCATTCATCAGGCGTTGTGCAAGATGACCAGAGCTCTTTGGCAAGAAGATTCGGGGGTGTGGCCTCCATTAACTCTTCCAATACAGCCTTCATTACATGAAGAGGCCAATCCCGACGGGATACATCCAGGCTAAGTCCAACTGTTTTCAAAGCAGGGCCAATTTTACTGTAATAAAGTTCACTAGGACGGGGTACAATTCCAGGATTCTGAGGAGTTTGGTAGGAATCTTGGGCCTTAAGAAAAAACAATTTTTTTAAAAAAGAAAGGATCAATTTTATATAAGGAAAAAGAGTGCCTTTTATATGTAAAGTAGAATTTTTAAAAATGATTTTTCAGTAGCATTCTCTCATTAGCTAAATTTCATGTATTAATACAAAATAGCTAATTCTTCTGGACTATGGATCTTTCTTATACACCTTTTAATTAGGCCCATTCACTTTACTGAAAAATCAGTCTACTGTTTAATTTTCTTAAGGTTCAATTCAAAACTAAACACTCAAGTTACTTTCTTCTTTATAATACAGAATTCAGTTTTACAATTTAGTTCATAATTTATGCACATACTTCATTCTTCACACGACTTAATCAGTAATATAAAATTAACAGAAATTCAAAAACACATTACATGAGAATTTAGATAGCCCTTCTCTAATTACTATTTCGAAATTATCCTTCAATAACAATTCTGCAGTCTCCTGTGCCTAGGTTTAAAACTTGACTCCTTTCAAACTCTTGCTCTTTTCCCCTACCTACCCTAATCAGAAGCATTTTCTGTAGCTAGATGTGGGATCCTGAAGATAAGACTGTATAAAATTTATCTCAGTATCCTAAGAGCTTAGTACTGTTCCTGGCATATATTAAGCACTCAGATACATGGCTAAAATATATTCTAAATTAAACTCCTAGTCTAAATCAAAGCATAAAATTCACAGATACAAAATAGGATGCCATGGTGATTAATTTCAAATTTAAAATTGCTTATTTACAAATATAAAAGAACTGGGTTTTAAAGCAACTGTTTACAAATTTAATTTAAAAGAATGGTAAATCCAATAAAAACATTAAGCTGTAAATTATCAAGTCACTGAGTGATGAACAACCACACATTCCCCTTCTCCAAATCTGTCTCAAGTGAAGATAAACCCAATGCCATCATTTTTGCCTCTTATATAACTATTTTTGCCTGGGTGTGGTGGCTCATCCCTATAATCCCTGCACTTAAGGAGGCTGAGGTGGAAGGAATACTTGAGCCCAGGAGTTCAAGGCGGCAATGAGCTATGATCATACCACTGCACTCTAGCCTGGACAACAAAGTAAGACCCTGTTCCTTTAAAAAACAAAACAAAACAAAAAAGCAAACAATTTTATTTTTATAAAAGGTACCTCAAGGCCAGAGGCGGTGGCTCATGCCTGTAATCCCAGCATTTTGGGAGGCCGAGGCAGGTGAATCACTTGAGGCCAGGAGTTCAAGACCAACCTGGACAACATGGCAAAATTCCATCTCTACTAAAAATAACAAAAATTACCCAGTTGTGGTTGTGCACCCCCCATAGTTCCAGCTACTTGGGAGCCTGTGGCAGGAGAATTGCTTGAACCTGGGAGGCACAGGTTGCAGTGACCCAAAACCACACCACTGCACTCCAGTCTGGGCGACAGAGCAAGATTGTGTCTCAAAAAAAAAAAAAAACAAAAAAAACCTCAAAAATACTTTCCTAGGGACCTCAAGTCTTTTCCTTCTTTAACCGCTTATAAACATGCAAAAATGGTCTAGTAAGCCTAGAAGCATTTCACACAATAACAGAGAATAGACTAATACACTGTGTTGATGATTTAATCAACCTTTTGTGCTTGTAAGGCAGCTTCCCGTTGTTGCCATCGTTTGTAAAGACCAAATAAGGGTGTGGCTCCATCTACCCACTGGATTAGTCCTGATCTTGTTCCTAGTGGTGTTACAGAATAGTGTCGAGCATGGAACCGGGGTGTTTCTTGGCGATTAATTGTAGCAAACATGGTATTCACAATAGATAGGAACTGCATTATTCTCTCATCCAGATGTAAATCCTCCAGTCCTATGAAAACAAAATTAAAATAGCTAGAATAGGTGATTAAACAGGGTTGGGAGCATACCACTCCTCTTTTTCAGCTAGCAATGGCAGTCAAAAACTGACAGTCCATGAGGCATGCTGAGAGCATTAAATAATTCTATTTTGGGACAAGATACTGGCAGTAGATATTAGCATTATTAGCTGTACCTCACTTGTCCTGCTTGTACAAGTTCATACACAAAGTGGGGGTGGAAAATCTTTCTGCACAGCATCCAACCACTACCCTTCAAAAGCACGTAAGACATAGGGCACTGCAGGCTAATAATAACATACAGAAATTCGCCTGAAATAATCTCCTACCATATACACCCACACAAAGCATTAGTAAAACTAATACTCTTCTGAAAAATGGAGTAAGTCTTAAATCCTACCTTTGAAAAGATAAGGATAGCTCTTCCCATCTGATCCAAGAAAGAGAAGTTTCTTTGGCTTAGTTTTAGTCGGTAAGATTGTGATGGTTCCGCCCACACTATGGATTGTGACAGTGTCTCTGGCTGAGACTTCCCCAGGAAGAGCAATTTCAGTGTTAGTCATGGCAGCCAACCATGGACTGATTTCTTCAAGGCGCAAGATGTAACTTGCACGTTTCTGTGCTCTCTGTTGCAAACTTAGCATTATCTATACTCATAAGACGGGAGAAACAAATTTACATTAGATTAGAACACTTATTTTCTTCCACATTCAATCTGGCATAAAAGTAAATTTTCGGCCAGGGGTGGCAGCTCATGCCTGTAATCCCAGAACTCTGGGAGGCTGAGATAGGCAGATCACTTGAATTCAGGGGTTCCAGATCAGCCTGGGCAACATGGCAAAACCCCATCTCTACAAAGAATACAAAAATTAGTCAGGCACAGTGGCTCGTGCCTGTAGTCCCAGATATTTGGGAAGCTAGGGCAGGAGAAGAGGATCATTGAGCCCAGGAGGCAGAGGTTGCAGAGACCCAACATTACGCCACTGCACTCGAGCCTGAGTGACAGAGGCAGAACCTATCTCAAAAACAACAACAAAAGTAAATTTTAAAAACCATACAACTATCTGTTGTTGTAATTTCTATATTTAACTCAGTGCTGGGATCTGGGCAATCCTGGATGGGTTAACACCGGTGGCTGATGTGTACTACAGGATTCTTACTTTGTTAAGACTCTTTCTTTTCCTCTGTCCAAACAAGCAGTGAAATCACAGGAAATAGAGGGAAAACGCTGCTGTGGTCATCACCCAATTTGGGGCTTTTAGCAAACTATTACTAATTCCCCAATGTTGAGCTATGTATGCACAACACCAAAACAATCCAGTCCTTGCAATAGGTACAGCTAGCAGTCAGCTGTCAGTTAGACAAACCTTTAAAAAGTCATCTGCAAAGTTATTAACATTAAATTACAAGAAAAAATGAGGCTCAATCTACTCTTATCAAACTGGAGGAGAGGAAATCTGGTGGATTTCTAAGCAACTTAACAAAACTGAAGAAAAAGACAAGTAAGAACATTTTTAAAAGAGAAGTAACCATTTAGGTCTGACCATTTGAGGTTTGCAGAAAAGCCCCATAATACTTTCTAATAATCACAGGGAACGAACTGTATGTACAGGTGTGTTGTTACATGCAGCGAACTCAATAATATGCACCCAAATTAAAAAATTCTGGACTCCGCTTCCATGTGAAAAAATGTAAAACAATCTTTAGCAAGCTCTGTTCATAAAAAGAAAAAAACCAATTGGAAACACCCCAAGTGCTCAATGACAAAAGAATAAACTGTGGTATTTTCACATAACAGAACATTGTTTAGCTACACAAACACACACAAACAAATCATTGAATTATTTTAAAACTTAATGGCGATCCAATATGGTAGTAAAAAATGTAGACATGTACATACAATATGATCTCATTCGTAGAAGTTCAAAAACGGGCAGAAACTAAACAATGTCATTTAGAAATGCATCTATAAACAAAAACTATTTTTTAAAAAGTAGATAGGGATTCATTAAAATTCAGAAAACTGGTTGTGGGTGGGGAGATATAATTAGGGAGAGAAGTAGGACTTCTATAAAGTTTAATTTCTTTAGATAATTCCTTTTTTTTGAGCTGTACTATATCTAAAAGAGAGACACAGGTATTCTTAATTTTTAAAATTATTCTTTAAAATGTACAAAATCATTTAAAATTTTTCTGTGATTATAGACACATACACACACACACACACACACACGTGCACGCACACACAGGGTTTTACAAGGTTTCCTCCTATATCCTCTTCTGATTTTCTAACTTGATTTACTGAAAGAGAAACAAAGAAACAAGAAACTGGTCTTAGAACACAAGGAAACACAGGCCAGGAGTGGTGGCTCACACCTGTAATCCCAGCAATTTGGGAGGCCAAAGAGGGTGGACCACTCGAGACTAGCCTGGCCAACATGGTGAAACTCCATCTCTACCAAAAGTATAAAAATTAGCCAAACGTGGTACTGCATGCCTGTAATCCCAGCTACACGGGAGGCTAAGGCAGGAGAATCACTTAAACTCGGGAGGCAGAGGTTGCAGTGAGCTGAGATTGTACCATTGCACTCCAGCCTGGGCAACAGAGTGAGACTCCATCTCAAAAAAACAAACAACACCCCCCCACCCACCTACACACACACAAGGAAACTCGAGTTTTGGCAAGAACACATAATAAACTTCATCCTTCATGTTAGTTTTCTTTCCTGTACTTCTAGTTATTTGCTCTGAATTTAGCACCTTGCATTTGCTAAAGTTGGCTGTACTTTTTGTTTCTACATGTATCTTTTAATAGCTTTCTCATTGCTCAAGTTCAGTAAGGAAATCAGTTAGGAGCAATAAAGGTAAGACAGAGAAAAGAGGGAGGGAGAAGGAAAAGCTGCAGCTACAAAGTAATAAGCTCCCCCAACTAATGGTGTTATTTGCTAGAAAAGATAAAGACCTAAGAGAATACAGAATTAAGAAAACCAAAACATAAAAGGTAAGGATTCTCAAATATGTTCCATGCAGCATATGTGGAACTGATTCCAGAACAACTACTTATAAAAATTTATGTTGTTATAGGTGACTATTTTGTCTATTAGAAATACTGAATGCTCTTCTCATGAAAAACTACATAGGCACAGGGTTAAATTTCTTATCTTTTATGAGGCAAATAAAGGAGGCAACCAATATTTAGCTCAGGGTCACAGGCCCTTCCTTGGCTAATTTCTTCATCTGTTGTTCACTGGTGTGAGCCTGCCATACATAATGTTGTTCACTGGTGTGAGCCTTCCACACATGAAAGATTGGGCACCTTTGCCATCCATCCCCCTTTGCCCACTGATTTCCAAATTCTTAAACAGAAACACTTATTTGGCCACAGGCTGCCTTCTACAGGCTTATAAAATCTCTTACATTCCAAGTAAGGAGTCCACTTATTTAAATTTCGTATCTCATGGGAACTGTGATGTGCCATTTCAGTAGCATGCTTGGGATTATTCTCTACCTCTTTAAATGGAATCCAGCTGCTCCCAGGCTTTGCAGGGTTCGACGGTGTCTTCAGTTTTTCCAGGGCATTTTCAATGGCATCACCATAGTTATCCTGAAACCATTTTTCATGAGGTGTTTCTGCAGGAGCCGCTGTGATACTCCTCACGTGCTCCAAAGCAAATACGATGGGCTTCATCAAAGCTGTGTGCTTCTCCCTCATGATTGCAATTTTCTCTTCTCTGACCAAGAAGACATTTTTATTCAAAAACTTAAATGTGTACATTAAAGTTTTACACAAACATGGAACAATGTAAATATATCAACTGTTAAGTAAACAGTACCAAGGAATAAGTCTAAATAGAGCAATAACATATTCACAAAGTAAATTACTAACAAAGAATCTTTTTTTTTTGAGACAGGGTTTTGCTCTGTCGCCAGGCTGGAATGGAGTGGTGCAATCTTGGCTCACTACAACCTCCACCTCCTAGGTTCAAGCAATTCCTCTGCCTCAGCCTCCTGAGTAGCTGGGACTACACACGCGTGTGCCACCACGCCCAGCTTATTTTCCGTATTTTAGTAGAGACGGGGTTTCACCATGTTGGCCAGGATGGTCTAGATCTCCTGACTTTGTGATCCGCCTGCCTCGGCCTCCCAAAGTGCCAGAATTACAGGCATGAGTCACCGTGCCCGACCAATAACTGTTTTTCGTTTTTTTTAAAAAATGCAGCTCACAAAAGAGGCAGCTCCTCTTTTCAACGAATTAAATGATGCAGGGAAAATGCAATATCAACATGCAAAAGAATGAAGCAGTAACTCAAAATGGATCAAAGACCTAAACGTAAAACCTAAAACTACAAAACTCTTAGAAAACATAAGGGAAAGGTTTCATGACACCAGATTTGGCAATGATTCCTTGGATATGGCACCAAAAGAACAGACAAATTAAATTGAGCTACACCAAAATTAAAACTTTTGTAAATCAAAAAATGCTATACACTATGGAGAGAATGAAAAGACAACCCACAGAATGGCCACAAATATTTGCAAACCATGGATCTGATAAGGGCTAGTTAGTAGCCAGAATACATAGAGAACTCCTACAATTCAACAATTAAAAAAAAAAAAAAAAGACCCAATTAAAAAATGGGCAAAGGATTTGTAATGACATTTCTCCAAAGATATGCAAATGGCCAATAAACACATGAAAGGATGCTAAACATCACTAGTCATCAGGAAAATGCAAATCAAAACCACAATGAGATACCACTTCGCATCCATCACTACAGCTATTGTCAAAAAAAAGAAAAGAAAAGAAGTATTGTCAAAAAAAGAAAAGAAAAGAGGCCCTCATGCATGGCTAGGAGGACTGTAAAATGGTGCAGCCACTGTGGAAAAGTGTGTTGGCTCCTCAGTAAGTTAGAAGTAGAATTGCCATATAATTCAGCAAATCCACTGGATCATCCACAAAATATACACGAAATTCACATAAAATAATAGAAAGTGGGGACTCAGATACTTGTACACCAATGTTCATAGCAGCATTGCTCACAGAGCTAAAATGGAGAAGCAACCCAGCTGTCCATAAACACAAGGATGGACAAAATGTGGTGTATCCATACAATATTATCCAGCCATAAAAAAAAAAATGAAATTCTATCACATGTTACAACATAATAAACCTTCAGGCCATTATTCTAAGTATAAAAAGCCAAACACGAAAGGATGGATACTGTATGTTTCTACTTCTATGAAGTAGCTAAAATAGGCAAATTCATAGAGATGGCAAGTAGAATAGAGGTGGCCAGGAACTGAGGTGAGGAGGAAACGAAGAGATAATCTTTAATGACTACAGAGCTTCTTGTTTAAGATAATGAATAAATTCTGGAAACAGACCGTGGTGATGGTTGTACAATATTGTGAATGTATTTAATGCCACTGAATTGTACACTTAAAAATGATTAAAATAGTAAATTTTATGTTATACTTTGACACATTAAAAAAAGAGGCAGCTTCACCATCTCAGGACAAGTGTATGGAAACATACTTGCGTAAGGTGTTGTTGTTCTGGACTCTCTTGACCTCATCTTCAAGCTGCTGAATTCGTCTCAGGACATACATGTGTTGTTGCAGCAGAACTCCCAGCCAGAGCTCATCCCAGAGCACAGTGACCCTGCGCAGTTCAGCCACGAGCATCTGAACCTGCATACACGGCACACCCAAACAGTTCATCTACAAGCCTACCCACAGCACAGCTCTTCAAACACTGGACTTCATAAGTTAAGTGTGTGCAATTTGTGCTCATTATACAATTAGAGAACCCTGACTAGTGATACAGATTGGCAAAAGCAACTTTGATTATTCTATAAAAAATTATTCTACAACATGTGAGTTTCTTTGTACCTGTAACACCATGGTTGGATTTGCAGAGGACAGCTTATCTACAATTTTGCTATAACAATCCTGCATCATGGCTTGGTCTTCATTTAATCCACTTTTAGGTTCATCCTTATTGCTATCCTGAGATGCAGGAGGACTTCCTCCCTCACATTCAGAAACCAGCAATTCTTCTCCTTGAATATTGCCAAGTAAAGTTGGAATTGCAGTGGAAAATTTATTTCCTGTAATGAAATAGGAGAACAAGGAATACTTTGAACATTTCTCCCATGTGCATATGCTGAGTTAGGGAAAACACTCATAATCTATTTGACTCAAGAGCACTCACTGAACTGATTTGCCTTCCATGCATTGAATTGATTAAAGATTGTGGATATTCTGCCTTTTTATAGGTTGAGCTTTCATACTTATTAATATTACAAGCTAATGGAAGATACAAAGGAGAAAGATAGTGTTTAACAAATAATGTATTCTTCAAGCCAGAGTTCAAAACTTGGTATAATCCTTTCTCTTTTTTTTTTTCCTTTGGAAACAGGGTCTAGCTCTGTTGCTGAGGTTGGAGTACACTGGCACAATCTCGGCTCACTGCAACCTGTCTCCTGGGTTCAAGTGATTCTTGTGTCTCAGCCTCCCGAATAGCTGGGACTACAGGTGTGTGCTACCACACCCAGCTAATTTTTTTAATTTTTTCATAGAAACAGGGTTTCACCATGTTGTCCAGGCTGGTCTGGTCTCAAACTCCTGGCCTCAAGTGATCCACCCTCCTCAGCCTCCCAAAGTGCTGGTATGACAGGTGTGAGCCACCGCACCTGGCCAAAAGTTCAGTACAATTCTTATCTACCAGTAACAGCTCAGTGAGCCTGGCAGAGTTACTCTATTTCTCCACGTCTTGGTGGATTACTGTCAAGGCTACAGGTAATGTGTAAAGCACATGTCCTGGTGTCAGATACATAGTAGTTACTCCTTCAATAAATGCTAATTATTACTATTAAAAAACCTACAGCCAGGCGCAGTGGCTCATGTCTGTAATCCCACCACTTTGGGAGGCCGAGGTAAGTGGATCACCAGGTCAGGAGTTCAAGACCAGCCTGGCCAAGATGGTGAAACCCCTACTCTACTAAAAGTACAAAAATTAGCCGGGCGTGGTGGCACGTGCATGTAATCCCAATTACTCGGGAAGCTGAGGCAGACAGCTGCTTAAACCTGGGAGGCAGAGATTGCAGTGAGCTGAGATGGCACCACTACACTCCAGCCTGGGCAACAGAGTGAGACTCCATCTCAAAAAAGAAAAAAGAAAAAAAAAAAAAAGCCTACAAACTCTAACGACTCTGGAACATAAGGCTTAAAAACTTTGACCTAACTAAAATTACTGGCACAATAACTTATACTTAAAAGTAGCAATATTTGAATATTCCATACCTGAAGCCTGGGATTCACTACTAAGCGATATGGTACCCACTATTGCAGGATACAATATGAGATGTGGGGAATCTTGAGCCACGCGGCAGAGAAGGTTACAAATACTTTGGCGCACATACACTTCAGGGTGGTTTAAGCGTGAGAAAAGTTGCGGAATAATTCCTTCAGGATGAGAAGAGAGAAAGATGCTTTAAAGTTATTTAAAACTATGAAGAAACTATCAGCATCGTAGATCAAACAGAGAAAACCTGATGTGTGTCAGCATTAGTACAAATTTTAAGAGTTCAGATTTCTCCCTGTGATAATAAAGAACCACACACAATCAACCAGTTCTTGATTTGCAAGTCTGGTTAAGGTTGGTTTAGATACAGGGCTGTAATCAAAGTCCAGGGAAACTCAAAAATGTTGTGGAGAAATTATCTTCTGTGAATGCCTACAAACAAGGCAGACACAGACAATTTTTACAGAGGGCATATAAAACCTTTTGAAAATTATTCACCATCCTCTCCAAAATTCATTTTGTATATAAAAAGCTCCTACCTTTCAGCTTCCCATTTCTTGGAAAGGTGGGAGGTAAAGTCCTAGTGATGTAACAAGTAGTGCAGGGTGTCCTAGGAACTTAATCTGGCTGTTCTTTTACACATTCAAATAATAAACATAAGGAAACCACTTTTTAAAATCTTATATATCCTAATGAGAAACAATTTTTCCAGAAACATTTTATGCAGGTGTCACCTCTCCACGGTGCAGTGGGTGTTGTCTCCAAGCCGTGCTCCAGATACTGCCGAAGCTCACCAGCGTGCTTCACGAGCAACCGCAGAAGGCGCAATGTGGCCATGACGATCACATCATCAGTGCTCTGTTCCGTTCTGTGACTTAAATGCAGCCTGGGGTCGTCCTCATCTAAAGGAATCTAAGAGTGAAAGATGAGGGGAATAAATAAGAAAATAACTCAGAACACTATTTTTGTTCAGTAAGAAAAAGTTTCCAAATTAATTTTCTTAGAACACTGTGCTACATACTTGACCAGCGTTGAGTTTAAGGAAAGTAAAGTATGCACTGCAAGAGAGTTTGTACAGGCTGAATATTCTATCTACAACTTTCCTCCACACTTTAATAACTCCTTCAGTTGCACTTTCATCAAGTTCTGAAAGCCATGGGCAGCTTGATATCAACTGACGCCAGATAACATCAACCATGTCATCTTCTTCATTATCTTCACTCTCTGTTATCTGAAGGGTTATATCTTCATCCTGAAAAGAAATTGTGCACAAAATGCTATTTTAAATACAAACTGAAAAGGGAAAAAGGTATGCAATTTGACTATCATAAAAATATTCTTCTCATATATAAAATTATCCCAAATTTAGTGTTATATAAACTAAGTCAGTGTCAGTATGCTTCTCTTTATGATACATTTACTAATATGAAGTCAATGAAGAATACAAGCATTTAGCAAAGATTAGACTTTTCTGGGGTTTTGTTGTACTTTAAATGCTTCCAAGTTACAATACAGTATTCTGCCTGCAGAAATTTTTTTTTCCTTGTGACAAAGTCTCACTCTGTCATCCAGGCTGGAGTGCAATGGCACGATCATAGCTCACTGCAACCTCTCTGCCTCCCAGCCTCCCAGGTTCAAGCGATTCTCATGCCTCAGCCTCCTGAGTAGCTGGGATTACAGGCGCCCACTACCACACCCTGCTGCTTTTTCGTGTTTTTAGTAGAGACAGGGTTTCACCATGTTGGCCAGGCTGGTCTCAAACTCCTGACCTCAGGTGATCTGCCTGCCTCGGCCTCTCAAAGTGCTGGAATTACAGGTGTGAGCCACCGCGCCCAGCCTATGCCTGCAAAAAATTAAGCACAATCTGCTCAAAAGTTTGAAGCTGAATGTACACAGAATACATATACTAAACCTCATTCTCTTCAGAGTACTGTGCACGTACCAGACACCAGCTTAGGCAGAGACTTAGACACGCTGCTGTTTACAGCAAGAACTGATCGATATAGCTTAGCTTGGCAAATAAAATCCATGCCTTTGAGGACTGCAATTAAATAACATAGATTGGCATTCTAAAATTGACGGAACTCTGAAGGGATAGAGTGTGAATTCTAAGATCATCTAGTCCATTTTCAACACTGGCTGCACGTTAGCATCACTTAGTAAGTTTAAACGCACACACACACACATGCACACACGTCTCATTCAGAATAAATGGGGGTAAGTTTCATGCACTGGCATATTTTAAAAGCTCATAACCAAGGGTTAAGAACTACAATTTCTGATGAGTAAGTTAAAAAGAAATTTAATTTACCTAAAATGAACTTCACTTATTAATTTTTTCTTTTGAGACAGTCTCACTCTGTCACCCAGGCTGGAGTGCAGTGGTGCGATCTCACTGCAACCTTCAAATGGTTCTCCTGCCTCAGCCTCCCGAGTAGCTGGGATTACAGGCATGCACCACCACACCCTGCTAATTTTTGTATTTTCAGTAGAGATGAGGTTTTGCCATGGCCGGCTGGTCTCAAACTCCTGACCTCAAGTGATCCAACCACCTCGGCCTCCCAAAGTGCTGGGATTACAGGTGTGAGCCACCATGCCAGGCCAACTTCACCTACTTTTAACAGGACTCTAAGGAAATGCCTTATTTTCTCAAAAGAAGTATATTCTTCTTAGAAAAATATAACTCATTGTCATCTTAAAACGCAGAAGTTTTTGTTTACAACAACAACTGGTAAGCCCCATTCAATATTTTATCAAATATATATGATCAGTTTTCTCAAAATCAATGATTTGGAGTAGCAGCCTTGCCCCAAGCACCATGTTTTCCTTGCCTGAATCCCCGCTGGCCGACATACAGCCTGTCCAAGAATACCATATATTCTCTCTTTCTCTTCCTCAGTTATAGTGTCTGGAAGCAGATTCTGAACTTCAGATTTCTCTCTAGGCAACAGACGAACACCTTCTCCCTGACTATAAAAATGAACAAGTCATCAGTATTTTAGCTACCAAAACTTTACCATATCAGCAGACATTTAAATATCTATTTATGCAATGTATAAACTACACATTTAAACATACCTGGCATTATCAACCACCTTTCTGCCCCACCTATAAGCCCAGCTGGCCAACGCTGCCCAAGATTTGGCTACTTCAGGTGCCTGTACTGAAGATAGGTGATACAACTGTCCCAAAATGAAGTCAGGTTCTCCAACTCCAATATGCACTGCCATAATGGACAAAAAAATAATTATAATAAAAGAACTCAACAACATTACATTCATAAATTCCTAATGACCCTCCCATTAGCATTTTAGGTTTTTATCTGCAAACAATCAAAAGTTCCATAATATTACTGTACATAACTTGATAAGGCACAAATATGAATTCTGTTGTCTAAAAGGTTGGTATGTTGAAATGAATTCATTAGCTTCCCAAGTAAGATTATATTATCTCCTGTGGAAGACATCAATGTCTTTCATGACACTGAACACTGTAAACAGTCAGGTGTCAACTGTGCTGTAGAACGTCTTGCATTATGAATCTGACTGGCTATTTCCTCATGATCAGATTCACTTTAATCATTCTGGCAAAAATAATAAATAGGAGATGAGTATACCATTTCATTCATACAGACTCATGAGGTAAACATCTTTATTCCCTTGTTAGAGGTGAAGACACTGCCTGCTATAGTGCATTTGCCAAGATGAAGATTTATAATGATGACAAGACAAATCCTTTAAGAATATCAAGACCCTATCAAAATTATTAACACCAATGTAAGTAACTAAACTCTCAGACTTCAGAACAACAAAATTAAGGTATACTCTCACGTTTCAGCAAAGAAAATCATCTCCCAAATTTTCTCTCAAATTTTAAAAACAGGGGAATGGTGCCTTCCACAACAGGCACTCAAACATGGAAAGAATCAACTACCCTATCTGTAAGGTATCTTTCTGTTACTAGCACTAGCATGAGAATGGGAAACTGGAATCTTTCTATAGTTTCTGTGTTCCACCAATCAATACGAACACAGGTAACTATTTTAAATCTTTGTTGCTCCTTCTATTGTGAGGTGAAATTTTTTGATACGAGGGGCAGGATTTTATTGTCAGCAAAAACATCTAAGTCCATAAAAGCAAATAGCCTGGGGGCAGAGTTCAGTGACTTCCAAAATGGCATTTGATCCTAAATATGTTTTAGTTATTTCCCAACAATAAAATAAACTCAATTTCCACAGATATATTTTTTATGGAAAAGTATAGCCAGCATAACATTATAAACTTTAAAACAGAAAAAAAAATAGCTTCTAAAATTAATATTCTAAAGCTAACAAAGAAACGCTACCTGTAGATTCACTCTCGATCCGAGGATACTCTTCTTCCATCGTATTAACAGATGGCAGTTCTATTAAAGTGAGTATGTTTTTAGACAAAGTAGAAAGACCTGTGAAGTTCTGTTGGTGCTGAGCTCTGTAAACCTGTTTCAGCTGTCCTGAAATCTCTTTCCATTCTGCCTGGATCCATTTAGCCAGTGTCAGAATTGACTTAGCAACTGCATATTCAGCTTTCGCAGACTTGCAGAAAGATATGGCACAAGAACTCAACATTTCCATTGCATGTGTTGACTGGCCTACAGAAAACCACAAAGTCAGAACTTAGAAACTTTAAAAGCAAATGATGGAGGGAGGCACTTGGGTTAGAAAACAAACAAAAATGCAAATGACTGACATTATTTCAGTGTAAAATAATCAACTTAAAAAAATAGAGACAGGACCTCACCATGTTGCCCAGGATGGTTTTAAACTCCCGGGCTCAAGCAATCCTATTGCCTCAGCCTCCCAAAGTGCTGAGACTACAGACATGAGCCACTATGCCCAGCCAAAATACTAAACTTTTTTTTCTTTTGAGACAGGGTTTTGCTCTGTCACCGAGGCTGAAGTGCAGTAGCACAATCAGGGCTCACTGTAGCCTCAACTTCCCAGGCTCAAGCAATTTTCCTACCTCAGCCCCTCAAGGAGTTAGAACTACAGGCATATTCCACCACACCCCACTAATTTCTTTGAATTTCAGTATAGCTGAGGTTTCACTCTGTTGCCCAGGCTGGTGTCAAACTCCTAGGCTCAAACAATCCTCCCATCTTGGCCTCCCAAAGTGCTCGGATTGTAGGCATGAGCACCTGGCCCAAAATAGTAAAGTTAAAAAAACATGTAAAATCAATGATCAGTGATCTCTGCAAGTATTTCTTACTGTAATACATTGCAACAAAATTCTTTTAAAACCATAGAATTATAAAGGTAAGTCAGTAACAAGCAACTTATTATTCAGGATGCAAATATTCTTCAACAGATGGAAATGATCAACTTTCCTATTACTACCTTATAACATACACAGTAACATTTATATATATGATTTTTATTATACTCATGTATTAACCATAATTAATTTTACTAACCTGCTGTATATAGCAATTTTGTTTTCTCAATATCAAGTTCGGGCCCCCACTTTTCATCCACTTGACCTTGGGTTGATAGTTTTTTAAAATGTTGGACTAAATCTTGTGCAGTGGTGGTCTTTCCCAGCTGAACTTCACTGCACTGTGCCAGCAGTCTTGTTGCAAGGGACACATTCCCTCGTTTTCTAGCAAATTTTGCTGCTGTTAGACCTAACTCCATAAGATGGCTTCTAATTGGGACTGTTTGTTCTGAGGAGAAGAAAACGTTTTATTAGACCCCGATTTGTCTAAACCAGACTGCATGGAAACATGGCCAAAAAATTATTCCCCAACTATCCCTCTTCCATACCACCTCCCGAAACAAAGATAACTCATCCTCAAATCCCTAGCAGCTAGCATAGTGCTTGAGATACAATGAACAGGTTTTGCTAAATTAAATGTGTACAATGAAGTCAAGTCAAGTCATTCATTTCAAGAAATTTCTTTTTCGTTTCTGAATCTTTGGCAAAAAGCCTGGGCCAACAGGTAGGGAAAGTAAGGAAGCAGGGAAGGCTAAACCATCCCCACGCACTTCTTCTGTAAGTACCTTCTGCCCTACAACCATTCTCTTGGTTTTTTTCCTACCTTGCTGAAGAATCCTCAGTCTCTCTCTTCCATCACTCATCTATTAAAACACTGGTGCTCCCTGGACTCAGTTCTAGGCTCTCTACTCTTCCCACGGCACACTCTCCCTGGACATCATCATCTTTTCCTGTGTCTTCAATTACCACAGAAACGCTGACAACCGTTCAATCTTCACCCAGACCTGACATCTGAATCCCACCTGCCAACTGGTCACCTACACTCTATTTATTTCAAGTGGGCTTCCACTAACGTCAGTCATGCCAAACGGAGTTCATTTTCCACCACCCTCCAAACCTTTTACTCCCTTTTTCCATTTTCCCCTTCTCAAGGAAGGGCACAGGATCAGCCGGCTGCCTGTGAAAGTACTTGGCCACCATCACAGACTTTACTTTCAACCCTCATAGCCCATTTGCTTTTTCCTTCCCCTACTGCCACCCTAGTTACCCTCTTTAGCAGAGACTTCACCCTAACTTAGGTCCCTTTGCCCCCATTCTTATACTCTTCTAGTCCATTTTCCAACTTGCAACTGAAGTGACATTACACAAAGGGTAAATCTGAACATTTAACTTCCCTGCTTATAAGCCTCTGATGACTTCTCACTGCCATTCTGACAATTCCAAACTCTGGAATTTGGCTTGTTACTAATGCCTTCCTGCATTCATTTCCAATCCCAAACTCATCCAGTGCTCCATCTCTTCCTCCTCTCTCTTAGGTGAACTGAGTCATCTAAGAATCATTATTTTCTCTGGCCTGCACACATGTTTTTTCTAACCAAGTCAGCCCGCCTTCTTCCTCATCTTTATCTTCCTTAACTCTCGGCTTAAATGTAACTTCCCCACAAGTCTTTTTCTGATTCCTAGGATTAAATCAGGTGCACTCATTATTTGCTATTCCTTGTTGTGGGTTTGTTTTTTGAGACAGGGTGTCACTCTGTCACCCAGGCTGGAGTGTAGTGGCATGATCATAACTTGCTGCAGCCTTCATTTCCCAGGCTCATGCAATCCGCCCCACCTCAGCCTCCTAAGCAGCTGGGACTACAGGCACATGCCACCATACCCGGGTGAATTTTTTTTTTAAGATGGAGTCTCGCTCTGTCGCCCAGGCTGGAGTGCAGTGGCGCGATCTTGGCTCACTGCAAGATCCGCCTCCCAGGTTCACGCCATTCTCCTGCCTCAGCCTCCTGAGTAGCTGGGACTACAGGTGACCACCCCCATGCCTGGCAAATTTTTTGGTATTTTTAGTAGAGATGGGGTTTCACTGTGTTACCCAGGATGGTCTCGATCTCCTGACCTCATGATCCACCTGCCTTGGCCTCTCAAAGTGCTGGGATTACAGGTGTGAGCCACCGCACCTGGCCCACAGCCAGGTGCTTTTTAAAACTCTTCTATTAGAGACAGGGTCTCGCTATGTCGGGTTGCCGTGTTTGATGTCCGTTTTCCCTGCCAGAATCTACAATCTCCTTGATCACCATTATATCCCAACGTAGAGCATAGTACCTGGTACAAAGCACATTTGATCAATACTTGCTGAATAAACAAATAAAAATGAAGAGGAATGGAGTTCTTTCTCTGAATATAACTGATGGTTACTGACTTTTCTTCTCAATTTAAAAACTTATGTGATATAAAAAAAGGACTGGCTGGGCACGGTGGCTCATGCCTGTAATCCCAGCTACTCAGGAGGCTGAGGCTTGAGAATCACTTGAACCTGGGAGGCGGAGGTTGCAGTGAGCCAAGATGGTGCCACTGCACTCCAGCCTGTCTCAAAAAAAAAAAAAGGACTGGAAAGGAGATGAGGGTACTTGTGAAGCCATACTATATGACACACTCTGTTCTAGGACTTTTATATACCTTGTCTCACCTCTTCATCTCATATAATCCTTACAAGTATCTCAAAAGTGGGGTAATCCCCATATAATTGAAAAGGAAAGCAGTTCCGAAGTTCAGTGATTTGCCCTAAAGTTCCTCAATTTGCAAACATCAGGCCAACAATCCAACCCCAGCTATGTTTGGCAGTGAAGGACCAGTTGAGTCACAGCTGCAAGGAACCACCCTGCAGCAGAAGTCCCAATCTTGGCCGTTAGCTTATGTTGACATTTAACACTCAAATTTACTCAGTAACACCAACTATCACGTTTTCCACTAAAACTCCACAGCATTCTGGCAACTTCTCTATTTTAGAGCAATAAAGTAAATTGTTAGCATCCCTTTGACATATAAATATTTACACAAATAGCAATTCTCTAGCCATTCATTTGGAGTATTTAAAACCCAACATTCACAGTACATTTTATGTGACAAAGAACTTATGTTCAGAATACAAAAATAAGTCTTATGTCTTCATTAAAAGTGGGTGAAGAATTTGAACAAACATTTGAAAACTAAAATACACAGTAGCCACTATGCAAATGAAAATACACTCAACATCATTAATCATCAAGAAAATGTAAATAACACTATGAGATAATAATCACTACATATGCACCACAGTGATTAAAATTTTTTCAAGTTAAGCCACGTGACGCAACAAGGCGTATTCACTCAAGAGAAACATAAATATACGTCCACTCAAAAGACTTGCACATGAATGTTGAGAGCAGGTTTATACTTAATAGCCCAATGTGAAAAAACCCCAAAATCTATCAAAGGATGAAGGGAGAAAAAGGATGAAGGGAGAAATAAACTGTGGTATATATATATATATAAAAGAATACTACTCAATAATAAAAAGGATTGTATTCCTGATACATGCAATATGGGTGAACCTTAAAAATATCATGCCAAAGAGAAGCCAAACACAAGAGAACATGTTATGATTTCACATACATGAAACTTTAGTAAAGACAAGTCTAATTTATAGTGACAGAAAGCAAATCAGTAACTGCTGACGGGGCAAATGAAGGGATGACCACAAGGGAACCTTCTGGGGTAAGACGGTGTTCTGTATCTTGATCATATTGGTGGTCACACAAGTGAAGACATGTTAGAACTCATCAAACCATACACTTAGAATGTGTAACATATACCTCCATAAAGCAAAATTTAAAAAAAAAAAAACCACACACACCCCCCTTTAATTTTCTCTTAAAAAAAAAAAAACCACTTACCTTTAATTTTCTCCAACAACCGATTCTGGTACATAGTATACCTTAAAGCCTGCATCCATGGCCTTACATCATGCTGTTTACATGAACGTAAAGCTTCACTGAAGAGTGGAATAAGACAGTCCTGCCAGAGAAAAACCAAAATTACTTAACATAAAACAGGCTCTTCATATGTCTGCAGATACACAGCAAGTCTTAAGTCCAAGACTGCAATACAGTTTGGCTACTTCAGACTGATTACAGTAGTTTTATCTATTACACTATACCCTTACATCATTTATCTTCTACTTATAAGAGGCAAGCACACAGTAAGAGAAAGCCTTTTGTTTTGAAGGGAAACCTTCTTCAGAATACGAAGTCTAATTTATCAATAAAGCACATTACAAAAAAAAAAAAAAAAAAAAATCACAGCACATTTACTATAAAGCAGACTGCTAAATTGCAGAAAAACATTACAACTAATGCTTTATAATGAGGTTCTCAAAGATCATCATTTGTTCGGAAGCCCCCATCTCTGGTTGAACTTTACCCCATTTGGGATGAGGAGAGATCTTTGTTTGCAGCAAATCTAAAATTTACGTAATCCGCCTAAAGGAACCGTCTTTACATACACCACCTCCCACCCCAAAAATAGAAAAAAAAAATTGAGCAATTTGCCATCCTTGAGATTATCCCAGGTTCTTCCATCTGCCCCATGTACTTCCCAAATGAAAGACTGCCTGAAAACAGCATGTTAGACTCTGGATTTACTAGCTTGTCCAACCACAAATCCTGTATCAAAAAACTCAAAAAATAAGGTCTTTGTTCTACAGTAATGGCCATTAATAGTCATAAGAATGTGCTTGTAAAAATATACAGACCTCTGTTGAAAGTCTGTTAGAAACTGTGTTCTCCAAAGCAGATGAGCAATACAGCTGCAAGGTACTTAGAACTGGCAAAGACTGTGAAACTGTTAAAGTAGAAAGTCTCAGAGGTCCAATAGAGATGCGGGATGTTTGTTTCAAATACTTTACCACATTTCTGAAACAAAATATTTACTGTTGATTAATGAAAATTACAATTCATAACCACTCAAAAAATAAAGCAATTGATAACATGCTATCAAACTGATATCCAAAGTTAGGGGGAAGTAAGAGGAGCAGCCTGCTCTATAATAAGATGGTATTAGCAAGTCATTTGCTTTTGGGGACTTTTACATTTTATTTCATTTCAACCTCAGTTTATGTTGGCAAGCAGCATTCATGTATCATATGACTTCTACAACTAAAATGAAGCTATTAGCACTAGTATTTAGTAATTTAGTAACTCTCCTTCCAGCCCTCTTCACCCAATGTATGTTTATCACATGATATACACAATGTACATTTACCTCCACAAGAGTAAACTTACTCAGTTATAGACTGCCACTTCTGATCTTGTTCTATCGGGTTTAAAGCAGTTGCCAAACAAACAGAACTTCTTAACAATTGAACCTCAATGGATTTCTGAAGTTCCCTTGGATCTGGACTTAACATGTTAGGAAGCAGTTTTTTCATGTCTACAGAAGTTAAATAAAATGTCATTAAGTTAATGTGCTTTTAGTATAAATTTTGACTTATATTTGGCATTATTAAAAAATAATCACCAATGAATAGCTCCTTTAATATTTAAGGCAGTTAAACACTATAAGCATTACTGAGAACTATATAAAAATCACTACTTCATATAAAATTACTGTACCTCAGACGCCTAAAAAGCAGTTGCCTTCAAAGGCTCAAAAATCAGTAAGTCGAGGCCGGGATTGGTGGCTCATGCCTGTAATCCCAGCACTTTGGGAGGCCAAGGTGGGTGGATCACAAGGTCAGGAGTTCAAGACCAGCCTGGCCAAGATGGTGAAACCCCGTCTCTACTAAAAATACAAAAAATTATCTGGGCACAGAGGCCGGCACCTGTAATCCCAGCTACTTAGGAGGCTGAGGCAGGAGAATCACTTGAACTTGGAGGGCAGAGGTTGCAGTGAGCCGAGATCGCGCCACTGCACTCCAGCCTGGGTGACAGAGTGAGACTCTGTCTCAAAAAAAAAGAAAATCGGGAAGTCAATCTACTATTTAAGGGGACAAATCTAGACCTGCATTAGCAAATCTTGCTCAATCCAGAATATTCATTAAACTTTTTAATAACATTTTATAAAGCGTTCCATTTGTGATAAAGAATCTAATTAATGAGCCACATCAAGATGAAAGCCAAGAAAAATATTTAGCTGAAACACTACTTTGTCCTTTGTCAAACAAAACAGCTAGATAAATCTCAAAGTATTAAGGTGGCCATTTTTTTTATTTGACTTAATTTTAACTGCTTTTCATTTCCCAAATCAAACATAAATAGGGCAGCCCTAAATTTGTTGCTTCACTTGGGATTCTGCCCCCCCAAAAAATGTAAAATAACTTCCAGATTTTCCAGTAAAATAATACTAAGCCAAACATTCTGAGCAACTTGTCCATTAAAATAATTTAAAAACTATTTTCTCAAATACCTATTTTTTCTTTTGATCCTCCGGCAAGTAGATTGATATTTTCTCCTGGTAACAATTCTAATTGCTCGGTACATTCAACAAATTTTCCAGACTCAAAGCTGCTTAATGATCTGTAATTAAAAAATCGTTAGCTTGTATTCGCAGCCGTGGAACCATTAAAAAAAAACAAAAACAAAAACAGAACAAATTCTAGGAAGACAGCAAAGTACAGAGCATTTTTCTGACAAAATTCCTTCCACAAGGATGCCACTATTTTGGTTTTTATGTTGAAGATGTGACTACCATTTAATCAGTACTCAAACTGGAGTGGCAAACCAGAAAGTCACAGCTACAAGCTTTCAGTGGAGTTGACTCACTCCTGTGTCTCCTTCCTATTTTCGTGTGTTGCACCCTGTTCTCCTCAGAGCCTAACACACTGACAGTAGACCTCTGCAGGACAACTTTGACACCCAGTTCTCTCCAAGCTGCCGGTGAGCTCCCTGTGCAGCCTCACTCCTCACCTATAGCATGAACCCTTGCAGCTCTCCCAGCATCACAGTCTTGTATCTCAGTCCTGGCTTCTTTCACTGCTGGCATCACTCCGTCTCTCCCTTTCTCACCTACTTCTCTCTTTTTCCAAAGAATTCTTCTCTTTCATCTGCTTATATGAAAAATAATGACACCTCTGAAATTCTTTCCTGTAGTCCTGCAGCATCAACGCCAGGAAGACAGGCCTCATCCTCCCAGCTCTGTGTTGTTCCTTTCAGATCCCTCACCCTGTCCCCATTTTCATGACAGGGGCTCTCCGGCCAGGAGGAAGACACTGTTTCTCACTCTCTCTCTTTTCCATCTTTGCCTGTCCCTCTCACTGTGTCACTTCCCTTGTAACTCAGCCTGAGGCCAGTGCTGGAAAGGCACATCAGCTGACTTACCCTGTGCCCGATTCTACCTAGATCAGTACAACCACCGGCTTCTCGGGGAGCCTCGAGTACTGGGCATGATGAACTGATGCCAACACATTCATCATTTCTGCCATTAAAAGGTCCTAAAGTCCTCTGCAGTGGCAGGTTCCCCAAGTCCCCACTATGCTCTACAATGCCCTATGCTTTCAGCTAATGACTGAGTCCTCAGAAAAACAAACAAACAAACAAAAAACACAGGCTTTAATTTCCTCTACCCCTACCCCCAATCCACTATATACTGCCCAAATTCTGTCTACTCTAACTTTGATTGCTTTCCTTGAGGCACAGAAAAGGTGAGGTCCAGTTAATCTATCAGTTCTTTCTCCCGTTTCTTCAACCTCTGCTTTCCAGTGGCTCCTTCCCCTTGACCAAAAGAACATAATCTCTCCAATATTTAAAATAAACATCTAATATTTCCCTCCAGCAACAGCTTCCTATCCTCGACTTAAAGAAAAACTCACTGACCAAATAACTTACCTCAAGCTTTTCATTTTCAAATGTCTCTACCACTCAATACTATTCAATCTAGCTTCTTCTGTCTCTCTACAAAACTCTTTTTCCTCATAATCCCTAGAGCATCTGACAAGCCTGACTACTCCCATCTAGATGTCCTATATCTAGGACACTTCCCTCCTCAACGTACCTGTGTTTTTTTGAATGGCTTCCTCTGCTATCCTTTCACAAAAATGCTAAACTAGGATTCTGATCCAGGCCTTCCTTCATCTTCACTCACTATTCTCCAGAGGCTTCTCTCTGGTTTGGTGGCTTACAAAGGCTCTAGAGTATAGAGACTGAACAGGAAAAAGGGCCTTTTCTGTGTGCTAATGATCTGCAAATCTCTCGAGCTTAGACTTTCTCCTTAGTTCCAAATCCAATTCTTAATAGCTTACCCAAAAATCTCATCTGCACATTTCTTTAGAAATCTTAAAACATGGCTTGTTCTCTGTGTGCTCCTACTCCAGTTAATAGCATTGTTTCTTTTCCCTCTACCACTGCCCTCACAAATTAATGGTCTCCATGCTTCCATATTTGCCCCCCACCTCCAATCTTTTCACCATAGCAGAATGAACCACCAAGTCAGATCACAACACATCTCTGTTCACATCCCACCTGAAATTGTCAGTCTTACTAGAATAACAGCCAAAGTTCTTTTCTCAGTTCCCAACTATTTCTCTGCCCTTGTATCCCACTGTTCAAGGCGCTCCTAACCACATAGGCCTCCCAGCTATTTCCAGAACACTCCAAGCCCATCGTTCTCACATTGGGTCTGGGCCCAAAGGGCATCCTGATGGGCATGACTTGACCTTGTGTCTTCCCTCCCAAGGTCAGCTTTCCCTAACTGCTTTCCTTATGGCATAGAAAAGGTGAGTGAGGTCCAATTAATCCTTCTATCAATATTCTTTATCTAATCTTTGCTTTAAAAAGTTGGAATTTGTGTCTGTTTTATGTGCTGCCTGGGTCACAGTACATGCTCAATGAAGCAATTACACATTAACCCATTTAGCAGTAGAAGGCAAGGGTATCAGACAAAGTCTAATGACCTTTATCTTCCCAGCCAAGTGTCTGCAACAGAGTGAGTGCTCAGTTTTGAATTACAGAATTCATAAAAGCACAGAAGAATGAGAGGAAAGTTTAATTTACAGATGTTCACAAACTCTGTCCTTATTAGAATAAATGTTTTTGATATATTCAGACCTCATTTAGAAACAAAGCTATCAAATGTGATTCTTTCTAAAGCAGTATAAATTTTTCTTTATATTCACTCTGGCATAATCTTCAAATTGTATTAAGGTTTTAGAATGACAGGTTCTGAGAATTAATACCAAATGACTATCTCAGCAGTCTGTTTTCCCATAATACAAATACCTTCCTCACCTCTGACGTCAGTTCCCTGTTGTCACTTTCATAATGGCAGTAAGTTAGAAATATAACCATTTTGTATTACTACATATGATCAATTTTAATATTTTTTTGCCATATGAAAAAATCATAGTTTTTGGAAACTCGTTTTATAATTGGAAAAAGAAAGCCTTACTTTATATAGTTGAAGTCAGCTTTCAGGTTGAGGGAAGTGCTACTGGTACTCTTTTTCAAGTCATGGATAGCGTTCTGCCATTCCTGCACAGCAGCCCAATCGGCAATTGAGATGTAGCACTCACATGCTTTATTTCCTAAATAATTTATAACCTCAGGGGAAGAGTCAGTCGGTTTGGACAGCACAGTTTTTCTGGATTCACCTGAAAGTACGTTACAAAATAAGAGAAAGATTCGGATCAATTAGAAATATTTCAAAGAGCACAGAAACCCAAAAACATAAAGTAAGATCATCAGTACAAAATATATTCCTATAACTTTTGCTTTATTTTAAAATACTGAACACTCACCATTCAGAGAATGTTTCGGGCTGGCACTGTTACGCCCAGCATTGGCTAAGGTGAGCACCGATTTGTCAAAGCTGGAAATGCAGCAATCAACACCTGTCATAGCACACAGGTGTTCCTGGTACTCCACAGAGGCCTTTTCAAACCTGAAAAGCAAATTGAAGCAGTCTTACTTATTTACTTACTTTCTTGTTTTGTTTTTTTTTTTTTTTTGAGCCAGACTTTTGCTCTTCTTGCCCAGGCTGGAGTGCAATGGCACTATCTCAGCCCACTGCAACCTCTGCCTCCCGGGTACAAGCGATTCTCCTGCCTCAGCCTCCTGAGTAGCTGGGATTACAGGCACTCACCATCACGCCCAGCTAATTTTTTTGTATTTTTAATAGAGACGGGGTTTCACCATGTTGGCCAGGTTGGTCTTGAACTCCCGACCTCAGGTGATCCACCCACCTTGGCCTCCCAAAATGCTGGGATTACAGGCGTAAGTCACCACGCCTGGCCTTTACTTACTTATTTTTTGAGACAGAATCTTACTGTCACCCAGGCTGGAGGGCAGTGGCATGATCATGGCTCGCTGTAGCCTTGCCCTCCCAGGCTCATGCAATCCTCCAACCTCAGCCTCCCAAGTAGCTGGGAATATAGGTGCCCACCACCACACCCAGCTAAAATAAGGTTTTGCTATGTTGGCCAGGGTGGTCTCAAACTCCTGGGCTCAAGCGATCCGTTCACCTCAGTCTCCTCAAGTACTGGGAGTTCAGGCATGAGCCATCGCACCCAGCCCCAAAGGAGTCTTATTTTAAACACACATATCTCGTTTCCGCCCTATGCCTCAAAAATGGTGCAAGAATAAATTGAGCTAAAACAGTGAGTTGACTATGGTGGGGGGAGGTTTGATGTCTTCCTTACAACTATGAAAGTAAATTTAAAATTCATTAAATTTTTTTTTTAAAAATGTAAGACAGTATAAAAGAACTAGTGGAAAATATTGATAAGTAACTGATGTCAGTGTGTGGAAAGGCTTTGCAGAAGGATAAAATGCAAGAAAAGATGCACAAGTAACAGATCTAGATGCATAATGCTGAAACACAACATTAAACATTAAAAACAAATTATAAATCAAGAAATTGGATACCATCAACAATCTCAGTATTTAATAAAATTTCACAGATTAACACAAGAAAAATTGAGAGGCCATGAAGACATGATCCATGTTTTAAAAGAATCACAAAAGGTCACTATATGGGGCAACTTCTACTATTAGTCATTAATAAATATAGAAATGTAAACTACAGTAACTATTTTCACTGATGGTGGTGGCAGCATTCTTCCTTCTCAGTGACTGTCAGTATCCACAAAGGTGACGGGAAGGGGGTACTCTATTATTAAGGGTATAAACTGCAGCCATCTTTTCTGTAGAGTAACTTAGCAATAGAATATATCATAAGACTTATGGTTTGGCAGTCTTTCTTCTAGTAAATCAGTTTGTGTGGATTCCAAGAAAGTAATCAGAAATATAAGCAAAGATTTTAAGTGCTATGGTGCATTAAGTTAGTAAAAAAATATCGGAAACAACCTTAATGTCCAACAGTAAGAAATATTAAATTATGGTATACTCATAAATACAAATCTTCATTAAAAATAACATTGTAGAATATTTAAGATGGCAATTTTTTTGTTTGTTTGTTTTGTTTTGTTTTTTGGGACGGAGTTTCACTCTTGTTGCCCAGGCTGGAGAGCAGTGGGACAACCCGGGCTCACCACAACCTCCGCCTCCCAGGTTCCACCGATTCTCCTGCCTCAGTCTCTCAAGTACCTGGGATTACAGGTATGTGCCACCACACCCCGCTAATTTTTTTTGTACTTTTAGTAGAGACAGGGTTTCACCACGTTAGGCTGGTCTCAAACTCCTGACCTCAGGTGATTCGCCCACCTCGGCCTCCCAAAGCGCTGGGATTACAGATGTGAGCCACCGCCCCCAGCCTAACATGGCAAATATTTTTTTTAAATACTGAGTGTGAAAAGGAGATCATAAAACCATGTGCCTATGTACGCTGCTGTTTTGGTGAAGAGTGGAGAAAACGACACGAAAGAAAAAAGAATTACAAAAGCATATGGATATGGAAATATGGAACTACAAAAGCACACATACCAGAAGTTACCACAAAGATATGGAAGTATGCGCAGTTCTTTTATTTTCCCAAATTTGCAAGATTTCATTAAACTAACATAAATGGATACAGAACAAGCTCCTCAACCTGGAGGAAGCAATGAGTCCGAATGTAGAGTTCAGAGGACTAATGGGCAAATACTCTGACAATAAAGGGTAATTTGTATCAGACTCTGAGGGGAAAGGAGCTCAACTAGGGATCAAGTTCAAAAGCATTTATAAAACAACTGACAGGTCTTGTTTCACAGTGTGATTTCCCACTAATTCTTAAGTAAGAAAGGCACTCAAGTATTGCTAACTAAAGAACAACTGAAGATACCTCTTGGTGAAGTGATTTATAGCAAGTTTCAATTGCTGAAAGCAAACAAAGCTGTTTTAAGATTTGGCTACAATGTCAGTGAGTAATACAAAGAATTTAAACATAAAGTAATTCTATCACCCATTTCCTTCCTTCCAACCTACCTCCCTTCAGCCTGTTGAGCCACTGAGTTAATCCACAGAAGATTTTTTCCAACAATAGATGATGACCAGACAGCAATTCCCTGTATAGCTTCAGGACAATGAAGTTCACATAGTGCTTCTACCACCATCATAATGGTTACTTCCAATTCATTCCCCTGAAAACCCATTCAGAAAAATTAAGTCATCCAATACCATCAAAACATAAATCCCTATAAAATTTACAACTGATCACAGTCTATGCCTGCTTAAAACCAAAGGTATTTAACAATTATTTGCACAATTTTCACATTATTTAGCTCAAAATTCTTTAAAATGTTACATATAAAATAGCCACAAAGGGTGACTAACAGAACCTTAGCAGCACATGGATGTTTGTACCCCCATCCCAAAATTACCCAAACATTTAACCTGTGACCTCTGTAGGAATAACACATGGAGTAAAAAGAAAGCAAAAATTAAATATAAATAACAGGAACTAAAGAATGACTAACTTCATGTGTTTGAATACTGCTTGACATTACCTGAATTGCTAAACATTTTGTTATTTTTGGATTCCAGTTATTTATTATAAGTCCTCTTTCAAGCCAGGAATTACCCAAGCATTTGTCATACGTTATAAAAACAACTTCTCCTGGCCAGGTGCAATGGCTCATGCCTCTAATTCCAGAACTTTGGAAGGCCGAGATGTGCGGACCACTTGCAGTCAGGAGGAGTTCGAGATCAGCCTGGCCAATATGGTGAAACCCTGTCTCTACTAAAAATACAAAACTTAGCCGAGTATGGTGGCGGGTGCCTGTAATCCCAGGGACTGAGGCAAGAGAATCGCTTGAACCGGAGAGGCAGAGGTTGCAGTGAGCCGAGATCGCACAACTGCACTCCAGCCTGGGCGATAGAGTGAAACTGTGCCTCCAAAAAAAACAAAAGATTTCTCCCATAAACATATTTTTAGAATTACCTTTAAAGTTCTAAACTTTGCACATAAGAAATATAGTTTTAACGTGTTCTAACATGAACATTGTTTTAACATGAACAAAAACATGAACATTATTTTAACATTCTAACATTGTTTCAACATGAATAAAACAGGTAACTCTGGCAGTTGTTGCTTTTACAAAATACAGGATCAAAACCTTTGAAAATGAATCCAAGCTTTAACTTACTTTATCCATAGATTAAATCACACCAAAGGAATTAAACCATGTTTTCTTATTAACAGATGTAAAATGAATTCCAAACACATCACTTTACCTGAGATAGGTTGGTTGTTTTCATCTCTGTAAGCAAGTCAAAGCCATGTCTCACTGTCACTGCAGGCTGGCCTGCCAACAATCCTACCCTCATGATGGAGAGTCGAATCCGCGTTAGCCAGTCCTGACAAGTTTGGCGATTGGTATAGAAAAAAGTTCTAATGACCTTTATGATAAGAGAAAGAAAAGCTCAGGACTGGTTCAATTTATAGGTAAGGATGTCTCACCTATATATAAACCAAATACATAAGTCTATTGTAATCTCAGCTCTGCACATACTGCCAGCTGTGACCATTAAACTGCTATAAAACAACACTGTCTCACAGAAACCAACCTTGGGAGGTGATGTTAATGCATTAGCACATCCCTCATATGCATTATACATTAATTTCTCCAGATTTTCCAGATACTGCAGAAGAAGAACAAGCCTAAGTTGGTTGTTACCATGGCCTTCATCATTGTCTGCAGTTGTCCACTGACTAACATCTTGATCAGGGTTTAATGTGTGAGCTGCGAGACTCCGAATGATACCTGAAAGCAAAGACAACATTCTGAGTTTTTAAAAATCTTAAAAGTTTCTAGAAGAAGTGTGAATTTTTTACGACAAATTCACATTTATCAAGTATCCTCTGTCTATCCGTCATTTAAAAATAAAAAAATCCCAACATGAAAGATCTTTCACTTTAGGGAAAAAAAATATTTTTCCCACACGACTCCCATAAGTTTTGGGAAAAAAACATATTTCCAATGCAATTATTCAATGAAAGCTTACTCTAACAACATACCTGAAAATTACTGACCTTTTTTTTTTCAAAAAAAATCATATATTCTCAAATCTTTAACATAGATTTAAAAATCCATTATTTCTTAATAAAGCTTTGAAAGTATTCACATCACAAAGCTTGAGTGAGTTACCTTCAATTGTCTGGAAGGTGTCTTGAGCTCTGCCCAGTGGGGTTCTCAGCTTAGAAAGAACAGTGAATTGTGCAGCTTCCCATATGGCCCACTGCCAAAGGACAGCATCTGTCTTCAGGAGATTGCGTGGAATTGTTGACTGGTCACGCTTATCCAGTCTCTGGCAGCTATAGAACAGTCTTTCTAACCAATTGTCCTTCCTGGGAAAAGTAGTTTCATATTTAAAAGACAATGACAACTTCATTTTAATAATGAAAAAAAAAAATGCAAGGGAAATGGGAATAAAACTGTAATTTTCCCTACTCCAAAATAGGCAAAACCTATGAAATTGAGAAGCATTATATCCCCCTCTCATTTTGGGGTCTTTTATAATTAACAGGATGAGGTACAGTGTGTAAGGATGATTAGGGTAAATGGCTCATGCCAGTCAGGAATGAAACTCATTCAATGCAACTAAGCATTTCTAGAGTATCTCCACCCCCACCCCATTCCCCAAAGTGTTAATGACATCACATCAGTTAACTGTTAACCACATTTCATTACTCAATTTCAAAGCCCATTTTTGTATCTACAGATGCTATCTTCAAAGCAATTTTCCTATTGATGAAAACTAAAATAACCCATATGAGAAGAATGTTATTTGATACTCTGCCACCCCCAAACATATTTTCTCTTCAAAACTGCAGGTAAAGTCAAGGGAATCTTAAAATTATGTTTCCCAGGTAAAACAGTCAAAGAAATGCCTTACCCTGTTCTATGAGAGTTCCCATACAAAATAAAACTAATAACATCAGAGAAATCTTGGGGGTGGAATGTGTTACTTGGTGCTTTACTCATGTGACTTCTTAATGCTAAAGAAATTTCTTGAATTTCTGTGTGATTGTTATTGCTGTAGACAGAAAATAAAGTTGTTGTTACGCAAAATGTTTTAGCTTAAAAGGTTAGCACATACTGTAAGCGGATTATTTACTTATTAACTCACTGGAGGTAAAAATATAGTAAAATGGAGACTTTAAAATGGATACAGAGATGCGATTACAACTTTAGATCCTTTTTTTATTCACCTCAGATAGGTAATGTGCGGACGTCATAAGAGGATTTGAGGGAGGCATATCAAACATATGAACATAAAAACCCAATCATTCTGCTTCTGTATTACAAAAGGATCAATTTTAGGCTCTTAAAGCTCCCAAATCAACTTGATCAAAAACAGTAAAAGATTACTGTTTAGTTTTTCAAATATCTGAGCTACTAAGAAACACATTCTGGCACTATATGAGCTATTCTATACTCATTATTGTGAGCCTATAAAGCTCATTAAAAATTTTTAATTTTCTTGCAGACCTGCAAAATTGGATTATTTGACATCACTTCAATCACTGACAAGCAGGGCCATAAAAGATGTGTCATCAATGTTCTAACAGGTGATTTGTCTTCTCCTAAAGTAGACAACCACTAGAGGCTGTAAATATAACAGAACGTCTTTGCTCCAAAACAACTGTTATACCTTAGGACAACATCTAAAGGAATTGATTTCAACAGTTTTCCAAATGCTTGTCGAATACGAGTTCCACTGTGCACTAGTTGAACACGGCAAACATCAACACATCTATGAAAGAACGAAAAACAGACAAAGCAGGTGTGTTAACATTTCCAGGTTATTAGGGTTAGTGTCAAAAGACATGATCTTAATTCCATACCTCTGTAAAAGATCATCTGGCAAGGAAGAGGACAGAGCATGTAGACTGCTGCATGCCTGCAGACAGATATTCACATCTTCAACGAGAGCTATTAAACATTAAAAGACAGTTACTTTCAGCTGGCCAAAAGAAATTATATCCCAGTTTGTCATAATTATCTGAATCCATTCATTCATTCAACAAAGAGTGAGTACCTACTATAGACTAGGCACCGTTCTTGTCCAGAACGCTCACTGACTGTCACATTTGGAAAAATTATACATTCAACAAAACCCACGAAATGTAACTGACTGGTCATCATACAAACCTTTTCTGAGAGAAAATGTAAAAGTATATGCAAACTATAAACATTCACATAAGCTTAAATATGTGACAATCACTTCAAAAACATTTTTCTAATACTAAGAATGAAAAAACATCGGCCAGGCGCGGTGGCTCAAACCTGTAATCCCAGCACTTTGGGAGGCCGAGACGGGCGGATCACGAGGTCAGGAGATCAAGACCATCCTGGCTAACACGGTGAAACCCCATCTCTACTAAAAAATACAAAAAAAAAAACTAGCCAGGCGAGGTGGCGGGCGCCTGTAGTCCCAACTACTCCGGAGGCTGAGGCAGGAGAATGGCATGAACCCGGGAGACGGAGCTTGCAGTGAGCTGAGATCCGGCCACTGCACTCCAGCCTGGGCGGCAGAGCAAGACTCCATCTCAAAAAAAAAAAAGAAAAAAAAAAGAAAAAACATCAAGACTGTATATCTGTCATTAAAATGAGGATTATACATCTTCAGGTCAGGAAAAGAGCTCGATTGATGACCATCTCCCATTACCAAAGACCCTTTTAAGGATTGATAAACAAAACAGAAAAAAAAACAGAGTCTTACTGTTGGCTAAAAGGCCTTTGCAAAATTTATGGAAAGACGGAAGAGAGAATAAAGGTGCATATGTTTCGGACTTCTTCATTAAAACAGCTACTTCCAAAGCCCAAGTCATTAACAGTTTCCTGAAACACAAAATATACAGTTAATTGTACATTAAAAAAAACAAAAACAAAAACAAAAACAAACTTTAAAAGTCTAGTCTTCTTACGCTGGTTTTCTCTTGGTTTTTCAAACATCTCAAACAATAAAAAATGAAACTATACAAATTACTTTCAAAATTGTTGTGTGCCTTTTAAGAAAACCTCCCAACGCAGCATGATAAGAGCAAAGAGGCCGGGCGCGGTGGCTCACCTGAGGTCAGGAGTTCAAGACCAGCCTGGCCAACAACATGGTGAAACCCCGTCTCTACTAAAAATACAAAAATTAGCTGGGTGTGGTGGCGGGCACCTGTAATCACAGCTACTTGGGAGGCTGAGGCAGGTGAATCACTTGAACCTGGGAGGCAGAGGGTGCAGTGAGCAAAACTCTGTCTCAAAAAAGAAAGCAAAGAATATTAAAAGTCTATATATATTCTTCTATGAAACACTGGGGATGGGGGATTGAGATTGTTCATGTATTTCTTTTCAGAAAGAACAAGAAAGCCTAGATTAATAAAACCAAATTATAAGGTGTTTGACAACAAAGAAAATGCTCTACCTCACCTCTGTAATCCGCATTTTTTTATTTTTTGTAATCCACATTTCTTATTTTCAAATTATAAAGGCAAATTAATAAAGTTAGGAGTAGTTAATACTATATAATATCTGTTACCTCGTGTCCTGGTTAAGGTTATCTTTCTTAAGTAATATTCCCAGAAGATTTAATATAATTGAGAAATGTTTCTTTGTAGCCGTAGTTACAGTGCTAATCACGGCTCCATCAAACAAAGAAGGAGAGGAAGAACTGAGGCTACTAGAGATAAAGTGATCATGCCTGAAAGACAAAGCATAGATTATCTTTTCATCTTTAATCAAAGAAAGCAAGCAAGTCCAAAGTCAAATCAACATACATCTTTAAAATCTACACATTAAAAAAAAATGTTTTGTGGGGTTCTTTTCTTAAGAAAAATTTGTAAATACAGTACCTGGTACAATGAGAATACAATGTGTAGAGCACAGCATACTGAATGGCAGGGAAGTGAACAGCCAGGTCACTGTGCACAATCATCAGATTCTTACTCAGAAGTGCAAAGACAGTTGGAGATAGCGCCCACATCTGCTCATGTACAAAACAAAGTAAGTTTATGGCTTCTCCAAAATAAGCACAAGCATACAGAGTTTATCCTTCAAAACAGGGGTAGACATTTTTAAATTAAAATTACAGATTGGAAGGGATCTAGCACACTAACCCTGGGACAAACACTTTTTTGTGAAGTCAGTAAAGCCTTTGCATGCAATATAGCATCTCTGTGCAATGCAGCAACTCCTCATCTATCACGACAGTAAGAAAACAGTCACAGGTCAGGTGCTGTGGCTCACATCTCTAATCTTAGCACTTTGGGAGGCCAAGGTGGGTAGATCACTTGAGCCCAGGAGTTCGAAACCAGTCTGAGCAACACAGCAGGACCCCATCTCTACTAAAATTACAAAAATTAGCTGGGCATGGTGGTGTACACTTGTAACCCCAGCTACTCGGGAGGCTGAGGCAGGAGAATCACTTGAACCTGGGAAGCAGAGGTTGTAATGACCCAAGATCATAACACTGCACTCCAGCCTAGATAACAAAGTAAGACTCTCTCTCTCAAAACAAAAAACCAGCCACATACAAAACACAGGAATGACAGTAGCTATGTTCCAAGAAAACTTTCTTTTTTGAGTCAGAGTCTCTCGCTCTGTTGCCCAGGCTGGAGTGCAATGGTACAATCTCGGCTCACTGCAACCTCCACCTCCGGGGTTCAAGCAATTCTCCCTGCCTCAGCTTCCCAAGTAGCTGGGATTACAGGCACCCACCATCACGCCCTGCTAACTTTTGCAATTTTTTAGTAGAGATAGGGTTTCACCATGTTGGCCAGGCTGGTCTTGAACTCCTGAGCTCAGGTGATCTGCCCACCTTGGCCTCCCAAAGTGCTGGGATTACAGGCGTGAGCCACCGTGCCCAGCCCAAAGAGAACTTCCTTTACAAAAACAGGCGCCGGTGTTATGATGGTTGCGCACTTCTGTGAATACACTAAAAATCAGTGAATTATACATTTAAAATAACAAACAAAAAACAGGTGCTGGGCAGTATTTGGCCCATGGATCATAGTTTGTTGATCTCTGGTCTAAACACAGCCCTTTGTATGTGCTTTTTGGGGGACTAGACTGTATTTCCTCATTTTTCCATATATTGCAAATGGCAAGGTGCCCTGTCCAATGAGGAAACAAAGGCACACCCTGCCACTCTACACCTTCTCCATCCACCTTTTTCCTTTATACTGCCAAGACACTCTATTCCACCTGACTGCCCCATCCCCACCCACTTTCTCCTTATTTCTAGAGTACAGGATATAAACATCTTTGAATCTGTAAATAATGTGAATTCCTCAAAAATCAAGCTTTCGTGTTTGAAGAAAAGTTTATTGTGACTTCAAACATAAGCTGTAACTGGTAATAAGGGAAGCAGCTATGGAATTATACAAGGCAATCCAATCAAACAACATGGAGCACATGCAAGTGCAAACATCAAATTTTACCTTTTTCCTCCTAAAAACTTTATCCCCTAATTACGTCCATTACTTCCTTTCTTTCTTTTTTTTTTTTTTTTTTTTTGAGACAGAGCCTGGCTCTGTCGCCCAGGCTGGAGTGCAGTGGTGTGATTTCAGCTCACTGCAACCTCCACCTCCTAAATACAAGCAATTCTCCTGCCTCAGCCTCCAAAGTAGCTAGGATTACAGGTGCTCACCACCACCCCTGGCTAATTTTTCTATTTTTAGTAGAGGCAAGGTTTCACCATGTTGGCCAGGCTGGTCTCAAACTCCTGACCCCAAGTGGTCAGCCCGACTTGGCCTTCCAGAGTCCTGGGTTTATAGGTGTGAGCCACCGTGCCCAGCCTACATCTATTACTTTCTATTAAAAATAATGTTTTTCAAATCTGTATTGTCCAACAGGAAGAAGAAATACACAAACCATAAACAATAAATACAAATCAAGAGCAGGGCCATGTCAAATTACTTAAAAAAAAAAAACCGGCTGGGCATGGTGGTTCATGCCTATAATCCCAGCAGGTAGGCTGAGGCGGGTAGATCACCTGAGGTTAGGAGTTCAAGACAGGTTGGCCAACCCTGTCTCTACTAAAAATACAAAAATCAGCCCGTCGTGGTGGCAGGCATCTTTAATCTCAGCTACTAGGGAGGCCAAGGCAGGTGAATTGCTGGAAACCGGGAGGCAGAGGTTGCAGTGAGCCGAGATTGCACCACTGCACTCCAGCCCAGGCGACAACAGCACGACTCTCTCAAAAAAAAAAAAAAAAAAAGGCTTTTTCCCCCCTAAAAGAAAGACTACAGGTTGAGTATCCCTCATTCAAAATGCTCGGGACCAGAAGTGTTTCAGACTTTGTATATTTTTGGATTTGGGAATATTTGCATATATATAAAATGAGATATCTGGGGGATGGGATCTAAGACTAAACATAAAATTCATAGCCTGAAGGTCATTTTATGCAATATTTTAAATAATTTTGTGCATACAACAGTTTGGACTCATCACATGAGGTCAGGTGTAGGACTTTCCACTTGGGGCATCATACTGGCGCTCAAAAAGTTTCAAATTTTGGAGCATTTCAGATTTAGGATTTTCAGATTAGGGATGCTCACCGGTAAGTGTTATGAAAATATTCCAAAATCCGGCAGGGCATGGTGGCGCCCACCTGTAATCCCAGCACTCTGGGAGGCCGAGGCGGGTGGATCACCTGAGGTCAGGAGTTCACAACCAGCCTAACATGGTGAAACCCCACCTCTACTAAATACAAAAAAATTATCCAGGCGTGGTGGAGTATGCCTGTAATCCGAGCTACTTGGGAGGCTGAAACAGGAGAACTGCTTGTACCCGGGAGGCGATGGTTGCAGTGAGCTGAGATGGTGCCATTGCACTCCAGCCTGGGCAACAACAGTGAAACTCCTGTCTCAAAAAAAGAAAAAAAAAGTATTCCAAAATCCGAAATCTAAAACACTTCCAGTCCCAAGTATTTCAGATAAGGAATATTCAACCTGTATGAATGTTCCTAGGGAAAAGAGACAGCCAAAATATAAGACCATGTATAAGAACTAACTTCAGTAGACAGAAAGAAAAAAGTGCCAGGGGAAGAAGAGACTGCATTTTAAAACCACTATACAAATTTGAGCTGTAAGAAACACTGACATTTTCTATAAGCATGCCAGAGCAAATAGGAGAAATTCATAAGACATTTTCTAGAAAACAAAAAAACTTAAGATTTATCAAGGAAAAGGAAGAATAAAAGTTAAATATAATGGCAAGAAAACGTTCCTACCAATTTTATTTATCCAGGTATGTCTTAAATATGGCTGTTTGTTACACACAGTGATTCTGCAGACATGTTGACATGATAGTGAAATACATAAATATGTAATGAGAAAAGGTTTAACTGTGGATAAAACAAAGTCGTTACAATTAAAGACTCACCCCTATTAGTGAGTTTTTGGCATTTCCGATTGTAGTCAGGGCACTGAGGTCAAATATAACTACAAATTTTGCATTGTCTACATTGAACACATGATTCTTAAAAGCCTCATGTTTTATTTCAGAACAGGCCTCAGGAAGTTGCAGACTATGTAGGAGGTTGTTTAGGGCACAAGTCATTTCTCCCAATATTAACTTATAGGCAGTCTCCAAAACAGGAATATTCTTCAAGCTGAGCACTGCTTGATAAACAGCATGGGCTACAGCAACAACCTGAAAAACAAAAAATTCAAGGAAGCAATAAATGGAAAATAAGTCCTCTAAAATTGTATGGAAAATAAATCACTATCTGTATCAGTGCTGATGATACAAATAAATTTAAAATTGATCAATTCACTGTAATACTTAATAGTTTAATTTCTTAAAAACCAATCAGAAAACTGACACAGATCAGTATGCTATTTAAAATCTATAAAGTTTTATCACAAATAAAGAGTACTACAAATGAAAACTGTCAATATGAAATTTCCAAAATGGCCTTTTTTTTTTTTTTTAAATAATCAACATCAAAAGACATATGCAAACAGCAGTTTAAGACTGGTTTTCTTAAATCTACCAAGAAAGTCTATGGTGGATTTGACTCAGGGGGTGGTTGAAAAGCCAGTCATTTTTGTTTACAAAATATACAGTACTTCTTAATTTATAACTTTATAAATGTGTCAGCTTGTTTTACTCTTATGAAAATTTAATAAATTTAATAACAGCAAAAGATGCATAGTCTGAAAAGAGTATCTGGCACATCATTCATCAAAGTATTCAGTATGATTATCAAGAAATATAAATTTAAAAGAACAAATACAATCACTATATTCTAAATCAAACATTTCACATTTCACTCAATTTCACTTATGTAGCCTGGTAAGCAACATTAGGTCCAACTCTTCAGTGACCCAAGTTGTCAAAGTTCATTATCAATGTATTACTCACCTCTTTTTCTTTATGATAACGCAAGAATAGTAGTTTAGATGATGGTATAAACAGTTTTTCTACAAATGATGATGGCAGTTTTGTATTTATTTGTTCAACAATCTAAAAGAATAAAATTTTTTTAAAATGAGCTTCTCAAATTACAAAAAGACATGGAGAAACCTTAAATGCACACTGCTAAGTGAAAAAAGCCAATTGAAAAGGCTACATACTATATGACTCCAACTACATGGCATTCTGGAAAAGGCAAAACGATGGAGACAGTAAAAAGATCAGCAGTTGCCATGGGCTTAAGATGGAGGGAGGGAGAAGTGGGGACCAGGAACAAGGGAGGAGTGGGTAGAACACAGAAGATTTTTAGGGAAGTGAAATTATCCTGTATGACACTGGTAATAGGGGATACATGTCATTATACATGTTAAAGTCCATAGAATACATAATACAAAGTAAACTATAAAATTAGTTAATAATAATATATCAATATTCGCTCCTTTGTAATAAATGTACCACACTAACACAATATGTTAATGATGGGGAAACTGTTGGGATGAAGAAGGTATATGGGAACTCATTGTTTTCTGCTCAATTTTCTGTATATCTAAAAACTAAAGTCTTCTAATTTAGAAAAACATATCTAAGCTGTATTTCAAGGTCTTAATACTGTGACATTAAAGTGTTTAGACACCTAAATAGGATACACGTATTTTACAGTTATCATGGGCATTTTTTCACACTAGCAAAGAGAGGTGTAACGCTGGCAGAAATACTCAGCAGAATGTCATCTAGAATTTGCTTTAAAATAATCCAGTTGGAGATGAAAGGACAGCAAAGAGGCCTAGATGAAACCAGATGGGCCATTTGTTTCTAATTACAGAAGCTGAATGTTAAATATGTACAAATTTATTATACTATACTCCCTATTTTTATGTGCTTCAGAATGTCCATAATAAAAGTGGGGGGAGGATATTCATGGTTAAGAAATTAAAGGAGGCCGGCCAGGCACGGTGGCTTATGCCTGTAATCCTAGCACTTTCGGAGGCCAAAGCGGACGGATCACAAGGTCAGGAGATCGAGACTATCCTGGCTAACATGGTGAAACCCTGTCTCTACTAAAAATACAATCGTGCCACTGCACTCCAGCCTGGGCGAAAGAGCGAGACTCCGTCTCAAAAAAAAAAAAAAAAAAAAAAGAAGAAGAAATTAAAGGAGGCCAGTCATGATGCCTCACATCTGTAATCCCAGCACTTTAGAAGGGCAAGACAGGAGGATTACTTGAGGCCAAGAATTTGAGGCCAGCCTAGACAATGTAGTGAGACCCCTTCTCTCCAAAAAAATACAAAGGTTAGCCAGGCGTGGTGGCATGCATCCATAGTCCCAGACAGTCAGGAGGCTGAGGTGGGAGGATTGCTTGAGCCCAGGAGTTTGAGGTTGCAGTGAGTGCTGATCGCACTGCTGCACTCCAACCAGGAATACAGCAAGATCCTGTCACAAAAAAAAAAAAAATAGAGAAAAGAAAAAGAAAAAAAGAAAGAATCTGGGGCGTAAAGGAATGTTTCACAAAAAATAAAGGCCTGGCAGAGTGGCTCATGCCTATAATCCCAGTACTTTGGGAGGCCAAGGCAGGTGGATTGCTTGAGCCCAAGAATTCAAGAATTCAAGACCAGCCTAGGCAACATGGCAAAACTCCCATCTCTACAAAATAATACAGAAAATTAGCCAGGTGTGGTGGTGCATGCCTGTAGTCCTAGCTACCTAGGGGGCTGAAGTGGGAAGATCACCTGAACCCAAGAAGTCAAGGCTGCAGTGAGCCAAAATCACGCCACTGCACTTTATCCCGTGTAACAGAGTGAGACCTCGTCTCAAAAAAAATTTAAATTAAAAATAAAAGTAAACAGACACCAAAATAAAAGCACAGATTATAAGACTGATGAATGTACTCTAAAACATAACATAATAAAGCAAAGCCCTTATTTTTTTTCTTTTATGGAGACAGGGCCTTTTTTGTCACCTTGGCTGAGTGCAGTGGCACGATCAGAGCTCACTTCAACCTCAAGCTCCTGGGCTTAATCGATCCTCCTCCCTCAGACTACCGAGTAGCTACGACTTTAGGTACATGCCACTACACGAAGATAATTTTTTATTTTTTGTACTGATGGGGTCTCACTACGTTGCCCAAGCTACGCAGAATTCCTGGATGCAAGCAATCCTTCTGCTCTGTCCTCCCAAAGTGCCGGGATTACAAGCATGAGCCACCATGCCCAGCCAAAGCCCTTAATTTCTTACATATCGATTTAAGGGCCTGAATAAACCAACACATTAAAAAGGAAAAAGGAAAAATTCACATACCAGTGTGAGTAAATTCAAGACTGAGATGATATAATCGGTACCACAAGTCTGGCAATTCTCCAGTTGGTCTAATCCATATGTAATGACCATGTCACAATGTATAGTCATGCTAGGATCCAAGCTGCCGAGCAAAACACCAACACACTCATTAGCAGCTGTCAACACAGCCTCAGAAAAAAACACCTGGTTTGCAGCCGTCACACATCTCATTACTCTGTACAGAACCTGTAAATGGGGAAAACAAGCAGCTTTTTAAAAAAATTCACATACTTCCACAAAGCAAGAAAATACTTTTTATTTAATGCAATTTCAACTGAAAATTAACTGCTTGCCTGGCCAGCAGTCTCTTAATATTCTAGTTCTCAGTAGTTGAATAATAATGATATCTCTAGTACAGTATGTAAACCTAATCTTGACTAAAAAATCCTCAAGTGCTATTATGATAGGAAATGGAATCGGCCATCCTCTATTTCCTATATACCCAACTTCGTTTCTCCCAATGTCACTAAATGGCTGAAGCTCAGAATCTTTATCATGAAATACACCACGACAGTAACGGTATTGACAGCATGGGAACAGCCTGCCCACACATACTACAAGCTAGCTCTTGGGCTTTTGGGAATCAATCTTTTAAAACTAAACATACAAGTCACTTTAAGCTTATAAAAGTATCTACTGATGGTCTCTTTTGAAAGATAAGCACTCTCAAGCTTACCACACAGTATCTTCAAAAATCATATTATTTCCAATACATACACAAACAAAATCCCCCACTAAACTATAATGGCCAATAACTGTGTACTAAATTTCTAATAAAATAGGGGAGAAAACAGAGCAAATAAATGCTAAAAAAAAAAAAAAAAAAAAAATTCTATAATAATTAACAACCAATACATAAAGGATTTTAGTCTACCCAAAGTTTTCATTAAAAGCATCCTTGGAGGTTGGGCACAGTGACTCACGTCTATCATCCCAGTACTTTGAGAGGATTAGCTGAAAGGTTCACTTGAGTCCAGGAGTTTGAGACCAGCCAAGTCAACATAACAACACCTCGGCCAGGCGCGGTGGCTCAAGCCTGTAATCCCAGCACTTTGGGAGGCCGAGACGGGCGGATCACGAGGTCAGGAGATCGAGACCATCCTGGCTAACACGGTGAAACCCCGTCTCTACTAAAAACTACAAAAATCTAGCCGGGCGAGGTGGCGGGCGCCTGTAGTCCCAGCTACTCGGGAGGCTGAGGCAGGAGAATGGCGTGAACCTGGGAGGCGGAGCTTGCAGTGAGCTGAGATCCGGCCACCGCACTCCAGCCCGGGCAACAGAGCAAGACTCCGTCTCAAAACAAAAAAAAAACAAAAACAAAAACATAACAACACCTCATCTCTACCAAATTTTTTTTTAACTAGTTGGGCGTGGTGGCACACACCAGTAGTCCCAACTACTTGAGAGGCTGAGGTGGGAGGATCATTTAAGCCTGGGAGGTCAAGGCTGCAGTGAGCCAAGATCGTGCCACTGCACTCCAGCCTGGGCAACAGAGACCACGTCTCCAAAAAAAAATATGGTAGCGGAAAGGGAAGCATTCTTGGCCGTGCACAGTGGCTCATGTCTATAATCCCAACACTTTGGGAGGTTGAGTTGGGAAGAGTGCTTGAGGCCAAAAGTTTAAGACCAGCCTGAGAAACACTGAGACCCCATCTCAACAAAAATAAAAAATTAGCAGGCTATGGAGGGAGGATCACCTGAGTCCAGGAGACAGAGGTTGCAATGAGTCATGATGGCGCCAACCAACTTTAAAAAGAAAAAAAGCTGGGTATGGTGACACTCACTTGTAGGGCTGAGTGAGGTGGGAGGCTCACTTGGGCCCAAGAGTTCAAGACTACAATAAGCTATGACTGCACCACTACACTCCAGCCTGGGTGACAGAGTGAGGTTCCAGCTCCAAAAAAAAAAACAAACAAACAAAAACAAAAAAAAAAAAACCCCACTATTCTACCATTCTCAAAGGCCTAAAAGATCCTCATAAATCAATATACACCTATCCTATAAATTATGTCCCTTTTATTTTATGTCTGAGTTAATGGCTTTTTGTTTCAACTCTGTAGTCTTCAAACAACCACCTTTTAGACATTAAAAATGAAGCAAAGATATTAAACCATTTTGAAACCATATTGGTTTAAAATACCAATAAGTTGGTTTCATTTATCTTTAAGTTCTGACATTTCTGCTCAAATGCACAACTTACTAAAAATTTTATATATCTATATAATCAATATCCTATTTTATCTAGCAACGTGTTCAGTAAAAGTATATGCTCCTAAAAGCAAGTTTTATCCTAACAATAAAATTTTCGTCAGTTAGATTAAATCTTTTATGACTGCATCACACATGCTTCTCTCTCCTTATTCAAAGCAGAGTACAATGCCTGGGGTTCATTTCTCATGTCTTTCCCACTGAACCCTCACTGGATGTGCTACAAACAGTGCAGCTAATGTTTGAGGCTGCTGAAGTGTGGCAATCTAGCTACCTCATTTTTAATTTATGTTCTTTGATATCAGGCTATCAAAGAATATAAAGGTATACAAGTTTTCATATGAGTTCCATCTTATGCTCAGAGAAGATTACTTTCTGAGGCTTTTCCTATAGTGTGCTATTCATAGTATGTCAAAAAACTAAAAGGAAACCCAATAATTTAAAAGTAAAATTATAATAAATATTATTTAGAAACAAAAGAATAAGATTTAAAAATTCAGAATGGCCTTTTGTCATGGGAAGGTAGGGGAGTTGGATGAAAGGAGGATGAGATATAACAGGATTCCCTACTTTTCTGGCTATTTAAGAAAGCAGTCAGACAATATATACATATATACATACATACATATATATGTGCTAAACAAATGAAATATTAATAACAGTTCACTAGGTAAAGAGAAACATTTACAATGTAAAACAATTTTATTTTTGAATGATACTTGAAACGCCCAAAAGCACTTACATCTGTTACATATGCCTCAGTAATTGGAGGACCCCGAATTGGGCTGAAGCGTTCCCCAATGCTCCTCACCACAGTACTAAACACCCGGAGAAGTGCGGCCAGCTTTGGTAATGACACTGATGGAGGAGGAACATCTTCATCCACTGATTCCCCAGAGGCCACATGGCTAAGGTCCTACATGTGAATTCACAGCATTCTTGGTAAGTAGTGCATTGTTTTTTTAAAAAAAAAAAAAAAAAAAAAAAAAAAACTCTAAAATACTTAAATCAATTCATTTTGGAATAGATTTTTAGGCTTTTATAAAGAGGAACTGTGGCCTATGAGAATATTAATGACTCTAAATACAAAAATGGGTTTTACCTAATTATTTCAAAAAGCCAACATTAAACCCAATAGACAACAAATTAAGGAAATAACTTCTTATACCAACTCAGAAAGCTGTTGGGGAAAAATAAATTCTAGTACATATGCTCTAGTTATATGACGGTATAAATGAAGACAGAAGCTTTTGCCATTCCTGAATTAGTTTTTGGCTAAAAATCTCGTTCTAGGTACTCTTTGAGCTGGGTATACTCAGCTCAACAGTAAGTCCTCCAAACCAAGAGCATGCCCATGAAGAGCAAAGGGAGGTTGTAAGACCCAGCCTACAGATGTATAACTGAGGAATTACGATATATGAAAAGGACAAGATTCGCAAAAACTGGGATACCAGAACCAATGTACATATCTACTTAAAATTAAGCACCAAAATAACAGAAGAGAATGAGATCTTAAGGATAACAAGGGGAAGCATCTCTACAAACTAGAACGTGTGGCTTCTGAAAGGTAGATCAGCTTTAAACGTGGGCTGTGAAAAAAGACGTTCTAGGTGTGGGGGCAAAGAAAAAAAAAGCGGAAGCAAAACATTTCCTTGCTTTTCTAGGAAAGAGTAAACATATCAGTACAACTAAAGGTACTGAATTCCTGTTGACGATAAGCAGCAAAGATGAAAAAAACAAGATGAGGCTAAAATCTGTATGGGAGCCTTGACTGGTTGATCTGAATAGGAAAGAAACACAAAGAGATCCAAATAAGAGATGGCACAGAGTTAAGCCAAGACAGTGGGGTCAGAAAAGCCAAGTACCAGTAACAGAGGTTTCAGCAGCACTCTTAAAGTTCCTATGCTATATTCGTACAGCCACAAAAGCTGGCTGAAACCAAGGCTTGTCCTCCGAAGTACGATTCAAGATCTCCTGTATGTATGTAACAGGAGAGTCTTTAGGGGCTTTTGGTGTTTTGTATTTTTTTATAACACAGCATCAATTTGCTTTAAGACTCTGAAGACTAGGAACAAAAAATAAAAATAAATAACAGAATATGTCTTCAGAAAAATACCAGATACCAAGAGTACGTAAAGCTTTGTGAAATACGAAGCTTGCAATGTTTCTTTTAGTCTTTCCAGTAATTCTCCTGGTAACTTAAACACATATGAAAAAAATGTTTAAAACATTGACTGGGCACGGTGGCTCACGCCTATAATCCCAGCACTTTGGGAGGCTGACACGGGTGGATCACCTCAGGTCAGGAATTTGAGACCAGCTTGGCCAACGTGGTGAAACTCCGTCCCTACTAAAAATACAAAAATTAGCTGGGCGTGGTGGTGGGTGCCTGTAATCCCAGCTACTCAGGAGGCTGAGGCAGGAGAATTGCTTGAACCCAGAAAGTGGAGGTTGCAGTGAGCCAAGATCATGCCATTGCACTCCAGCCTGGGTGACAGAGTGACACTCCGTTTCAAAAAAAAAAATTTTTTTTTAAATATTGCAATGGGCTTGTAATTTCTGCTTAAATGTCAGGAGGTCTGAGCTATTTTAAAATAAATCTAGCACAATTTAAGATTTTTATTTTTTCTGAACCAAAATTTTAAGAAACACCTTTCTATATACTCACCTCAGCATATGCTTCCATGTCTTCTAGAAACTGACCAAGAAGAGTGGTAGAAAATGCAAGATCAGCTACCCAAAAAGGCTCCAAACTCTGCAACCACCCTTGGAATCGTGTAAGAAATTGTGAAAGGGTAAGGGGGAAAAAAACACCAAAAAATCCAAATTAAAAAAATATAAGAGCCTTGTTTTAAGAGGTACCTGGCTTTCAAGCAGCGTACCCTAAAACATGTCCTATATCATAAAATTAAGATTGTTAAACATGCTGATCACAATTAATCAATACTTCTTTAATACCTCTTTAATTTCTGCAGAAATGACATGTAAATGTTATTTCCTTACTTTTTCAGTAAATTTCATATCTATATTGTCACCATACATGACTTAAGACTAAAATGCCACAATCTGCCATTGGCCTGGCTAATCCCAGGGCCACATCTAACCACTAAAGGTGTATACTCATCTCTTCAGTGAAAATGAAACAGACCACTACCACCTGAATATTCTATTTTCAAAAGTTTATCACACCAAGTAAGTTATGAGAAACTATGACACATGAAACAAGCTGAAATGTGCAAATGAGCCATGCTAGTCATTCACTTAACTCCAAGAAAAGGGAAACAAAACCATTTCTCATTTATGACAATTCTCCAAATTAATCCTGTATTTCCTTTTTTAAAAAAATAACCAGAAAAATAAAAAGTTACAAATAACTTGGATCTTCCATTGTCCACTTCAGGGTATTGCCACTACCAAATATTCTTACCATATATTTTCCTACCAGTACAAACTACAAATAACTTGGGTAAGTCTTGTCTGTAGTTACTCTACCCACCTACTAGTAATTTCCTCTGAAAAGATATATTCAGCTAACAAGTCATGTTCATCCACAATAAAACATTTCTCTGACTTAGTTTTCTTGCATTATTGAAGAAATGGTATTGATAGATGGTCACTGGGGAACCACTGCTCCTCCCCAACAGTATTTAAATAACTGGTATAGGCTGCAAGACTTACCAGAGACCTGCTGCGTGAGCGAAGGTTTCTGAGTATGATCTATATGCCATCCAACTAATATATCAACTGTATCCTTGATGGAAACAAAGAGAGAGGGGGCCGATCATTTTAAGGTATTACTGCCATTCACCTGTGGACCATTTCACAGTAAAAGATTCTAAAAGGAGCATCTATGTTCTACCTGACATTCTAGAAACTTAGAAAGGGGAGAGGGGCAGGAAAATAAGAAAACTACGTTTCTGACAACAAAGAAATAGTTCATTTTCTTCAAATATTTTAAGGTATGAATGTCAGAAAGAAAAATGCGGCATTCAACCCTGGAACCTGAAATATCACTGATTATATCCAAAGGAGCAGAGGCATTGTTTTCCATCTGATTCCTCAGTTCCTCACACACACAACCATCCCCCTCACCCCATGATCTGAAAAGTGGAATGGGGAACTCACCCTAAAATTAGTGCTGAAAATATGAGGGTAACATCGAGCCACCAAAAGAATGCACTTAACACATTTGCAAAGCAATTCTGGTGTATCCACATTTTCAAGAATAGACTGCAGGCTGGTCATTACAAGCTTAAAAATAAAAGTTACAAACCGTGAACATTCAACAAAATAGGGAGAAAACAAGCAAATTAGGTTCATTATTTAGTAAGTGACTACATAAAAAACTGAGTATGAGACCAAGAAAAATAGATTCTGTAGTTTTAGTTTAAAAAAAAAATTGACTTGGCCGGGCAAGGTGGCTCACGCCTGTAATCCCAGCACTTGGGAGGCCAAGGCGGGCAGATCACGAGGTCAGGAGATCGAGACCATCCTGGCTAACACAGTGAAACCTCGTCTCTACTAAAAACACAAAAACAAAAAAAAAACTAGCCGGGAGTGGTGGCGGGTGCCTGTAGTCCCTGTTACTCGGGAGGCTGAGGTAGGACAATGGCGTGAACCAGGGAGACAGAGCTTGCAGTGAGCCGAGATCATGCCACTGCACTCGTCTGGACGACAAGGCGAGGCTCTGTTTCAAAAAAAAAAAAAGTTGATTTGTAATCCCAGCTACTCAGGAGGCTGAGGCACAAGAATCACTTGAACCCAGGAGGCAGAGGTTGCCGTGAGCTGAGATTGCACCACTGCACTCCAGCCTGGACAACAGAGCGAGACTCCATCTCAAATAAAATAAAATAAAATAAAATAAATTGAAAATATTTCACTCCACTAAGATGTTAGGCTAAAAACAAATACTGTTTTCTCTTCTTCAATGTTTGTTAATATTAGTCCTTTGACATCAGTTAACATTAGTCCTTAACAACACCAGTTTACAATATCCCTAAATGCTCTCTTTAAGACTCTACTTGTGATTAAATTTCAAATACAAAAAGTAAAATGGATTTCGGAAACTTTTCTATAGAGTACAACAATTACTTTCCAGTCCAAAATATAAGGCAAATTTTATATAATTTATGCTTTAGTATATTAGTACTTGCTTCATATTAGAATTAAAGAAGATTGGCCGGGCGCGGTGGCTCAAGCCTGTAATCCCAGCACTTTGGGAGGCCGAGACGGGCGGATCACGAGGTCAGGAGATCGAGACCATCCTGGCTAACACGGTGAAAAATTAGCCGGGCGAGGTGGTGGGCGCCTGTAGTCCCAGCTACTTGGGAGGCTGAGGCAGGAGAATGGCGTGAACTCGGGAGGCGGAGCTTGCAGTGAGCTGAGATCCGGCCACTGCACTCCAGCCTGGGCGACACAGCGAGACTCCGTCTCAAAAAAAAAAAAAAAGAAGATCAGTATGGCACCACACATTAATAACATGCAGGCTCATGTTACCATTATACATAAATTTTTTAAATAAATATATGGCAAAAATAAAATAATAAATAACTATATGGCATTCCATTGAAAGAATATTTATTTTGTGGCTGTTAAAAAACATTTTTCCCTAAAGAAGGAAAAGCTCTGCTTTACATAGCAATCTTATAAAAGAAATGCTAGAATCGGAAAATCATCATTTTAGGCTGGGTGCAGTGGCTCACACCTGTAACCCCAGCACTTTGGGAGGACGAGGCAGGTGGATCACTTGAGGTCAGGAGTTCAAGACCTGCCTGGCCAGCATGATGAAACCCGTCTTTACTAAAAATATAAAAATTAGCAGAGCACAGTGGCACATGCCTGTAATCCCAGCTACTCAGTAAGCTGAAGCAGGAGAACTGCTTGAACCTGGGAGGCAGAGGTTGCAGTGAGCTGAGATCGTGCCACTGCACTCCAGCTTGAACAACAAAGCAAGACTACATCTCAAAAAAAAAAAAAAAGAAAGAAAAAGAAAACCATTATTTTGCAATAGCCAATGTTATAATCTATACAGGCACAGACTATCAATGCTAAAAACCATTTAAAAGACATCTTAGGGGTAATTACAGAAATTTGAATATAGAACACATATGTAATAAAATTCATTTTCTTAGGTATAATACTCTTGTTATACAGAAGAAAAACCTTATTCTCAGGAGATGCATACTAAAACATTATGAGGTGAATTGTCATCATATGTATGGTTTTCAGATGGCTCAACAAAAGTGTATGAGAAAATAAAACTTGCAAAATATTAATAAGTGGTAAATCTAGGTGGAGTATGTATTACGAAATTATTATTGTATTTACGGGTATTTATTTTACTGGTGCATCTACCTTTCTATGAATGTAAGAATTTTCACAACAGTCAGGGAAATGTTCATAATCTAAAAACTGTATGCATGTAGAATAAGCCCAGTCTGGTGGCGTTCTGTTTAGTTACAGGTAATTTTTGAATCTTCCCTCAAATTTCTCTCAAATCTCTATAATCAAGGGGAAAAATGTTTTGCCTATAATGGAGGGCAGCAGCTTGACCATACCTCACTGTAGCCTCAAGCTCCTAGGCTCAATTGATCCTCCTGCTTCAGCCTCCAAGTAGCTGGGACTACAGGTGCATGCCACCATGCCTGACTTATTTTTTTTCCTTTTTTTTTTTTTTTTTTTTTTTTGGTAAAGACAGGGTTTCACCATGTTGCCCAGGCTGGTCTCAAACTCCTGGACTGAAGCAATTCATCATCCTCAGCCTCCCACAGTGCCGGGGTTACAGGAGTGAGCCAACATGCCCAGTTAAAAACACATTTTTTATTTAAAAAAAAAAAAAAAAAAAAAAAATCCTTATATTTTTTAAACTACATACCCAAAATAAAGCATATCAAAAACTGTTTAAAAAAAAAAAAAAACCCTAATATCAGATATTTCAAACACATCAATACCATAATTTCTAAAAACATTAGCTCAACAAAAATTTAATTACTTAAAATCTTACTCAAAACTAAATCAACAATGATCTTTTAGGCCAGGTACAGTGGCTCATGACAGTAATCCCAGCACTTTGGGAGGCCAAGGCAGGAGGATCACTTGAGGTCAGGAGTTCAAGACCAGCATGGCCAACACAATGAAACCCCATCTCTACTAAAAATACAAAAATTAGCCAGGCTAGTGGCGCGCTCCTGTAATACCAGCTACTCGGGAGGCTGAGGCAGGAGAATCGCTTGAACCTGGGAGGCAGAGGTTGCACTCAGCCAAGATCATGCCACTGCCCTCCAGCCTGGACAATAGAGCAAGACTCTGTATCAAAAAAGGGGGGGGGGAATGATTTTTTAATATATTCAGATACACAAACGTGAAATAAAGCTAAGTAGAGCTAGTATCCATTTACACATAATTATCTTATACCATTTGGAGTAAGAATTTGGGGCACGTTAGCAAACCAAAAGGCTCAGAAAGAAGTTGTGATATTTAGTTCTTGTCTCCCTCAACAAATGTGAAGCACTCTTCTATCCAGCATTCCTAGTGCAGTTCTTGTTTTCAAATTTGCAAATCATTCTGGTCCTAAGCAATCTCAAAAAAACATTTCTAAAAACCAAAGAGGAAAAAAACTTTTTTTTTTTCTTTTTTCTGAGACAGAGTCTGGCTCTGTCAGCCAGACTGGAGTGCAATGGTGGGACCTCGGCTCACGGCAACCTCTGACTCCCTGGTTTAAGCCATTCTCCTGCCTCAGTCTCCCAAGTAGCTGGGACTACAGGCTTGCACTATCATGCCGGGCTAATTATTGTATTTTTAGTAGAAACGGGGTTTCACCATGTTGGCCAGGATGGTTTCGATCTCTTGACCTCATGATCCGCCTGCCTAGGCCTCCCAAAGTGCTGGGATTACAGGTGTGAGCCACCGCACTCGGCCAAGGAAAAAATCTTAAAACTAACTTATTTCAAATCTAACTTCAACATGTATCCTTCACTCAAACTGAAAAAGAGGAATTTTTAAAAAATATTTCCTATCAGTAGATAATTCCTATTCCATGTTTCCCTTCTTCAAGCTCCCCTCCAAGGACATGTGTTAAGGGACAAATTTTTCCCAAGTACATCATGCATTTTTCCCCCTTCATTCTTACCTGCATTACAGATGAAAAGGCTTTCTTTTCTCCTACAGTCTCTAGTGCTTTGTAGGTGGCACATAAGTAGAGGAGTTTTACTTCATCTTTTGCAGATGAGCTAAATTTGCTAAAAATCCACTTGAAGATCTTCTCGGCCTCATAGCTCAGAGAAGCACAAAGAAGGCCAAGACAGCAAGCTCCCTCCTGTCTCAACTCCTGAAGCAATTTGCTACTGTGTTTATTTTAATACAAACAAAAAACACACACAAAAGGCTTAAGTTTTCTATGATGACACAAGTAACACATCTTACAAAAGAATGTCTTAAATAAATTTCTATTCAAATTACACAAAAGGTTGAAATTTTCTCCACTCTAAATACTATATTCTGTCTAGCCTGCATTGCCCCACAGTATCTGTCTGACATTACTTCCTTTTTACAAAATCAGTTATTTACAACAGTGAGGGAAGGCCCAGAAATGCTAAATTCCATCTCAAACTGTATTAAATGACTCTCAGAAAAGGGCAGCAAGAAATAATTGGATAAAACACACTATACATAACTACATTCTATATAATATTCAATATGTAATGACTATAAAATAAAAAACGGTAATAGTTAAATACAGAAACTTAAAAGGATAACAGTAACGATTTACGTATAACTTTAAAAAGTAACTCTATAAAACCATCAAAAGGCACTAAGGTTTGTGACGGGCTGAGGTAAACTTTGGGTACTTGCCACCACTGCAATTCTTTGAGAATCACTGTAACAAAAAATGACCACACACCTCCAGAGACTCCAACAGCCAGAGAATATATGGTTTGAATCCACTCTTACACGAAGAAGGAAGTTCCTTTTTACCTCTATTCTCTAAGCAGTTTCAAATTCTCTAGTTTACAAAAACTAATTGTATTCATTCATGCTTGCATCAAGAATTTATGCTACTCCATAAGTCAAGACTCAGTTATTCAGTGAGACTAGCAAATTAAAAAAATTACATATTCCTGCTGGGCACGATCGCTCACGCCTGTAATCCCAACACTTTGGGAGGCTACAGTGGGTGGATCACCTCAGGTCAGGAGTTTGAGACCAGCCCGGTCAACATGGTGAAACCCTGTCTCTACTAAAAAAACAAAAATTAGCTGGCAATGGTGGTGCACGCCTGTAGTCCCAGCTACTAGGGAGGCTGAGGCAGGAGAATCGCTTGAACCTGGGAAGCAGAGGTTGCAGAGAGCCAAGATTGCACCACTGCACTCCAGCCTGGGCGACAGGGTGAGACTCTAACTCAAAAAATAAATAAATAAATAAATAAATAATTTCTTTTCAAGTGGATTCCATTTGTATTCAATGGTAATTAACACATAATTAATGCAGACAAATATGACAAGAGGACCCACTGAAATGTCAATAGGTGTTCACAAACAAAGCCAATGGGTTTATTTTCTTGTGTATTTTAAATAATTTCTAAAAATATATTTTAAAGTCATTTAAACTGAACCATTATTAGTTACTTACCTTTCATTAAGCACATCATGTACAGCAGCCAAGATATTATCCAATTGTTTAACTAGTACCTTTAAAAGAAAACACATTTATAAAAACTTCAAATTCCTATACTTTTAAGAACAGCATTGTGTACTTTTTTACTTGTCTTCCACTCCAAATTATAATTCAACAGTACTTTAGTTTCTTTATTATTCCCAGTCTCCAAGGAGCATGTATCAGGCATGTCATGTTTCCTTTCACACTATGAAAGAAATTCCTCCACTGGAAACACAGAGCTGTGATCATCAACAAAAAAATAAACTCAAAAAGCTTGTTTTATTTACTCTGAAATGCATTTGAAAAATTGACTGATGGATGGAGGGACAGATGGAGAGATACGCAACAAGGCAGTATTTAGGGTAAAATGTTAACGACAAAAATTAGATAATGGGTTTAACAGATTCAATGTCAAATTCTTTCAACTTGCTATATATTTGAAACTTCTCATAATAAAATTTGGAAGGAGGAGAAACCTGCTTTGAGCCAAATGTCATCTGCCTCACTAGACCACTTTCATTAATTTTCTCCTGCTCAAGTTATTTTTCTTTTTTTCAGATGGAGTTTCACTCTTGTTGCCCAGGCTGGAGCGCAATGGCGTGATCTCAGCTCACTGCAACCTCCGTCTCCTGAGTTCAAGCGATTCACCAGCCTCAGCCTCCCAAGTAACTGGAATTATAGACATGTGCCACCATGCCCAGCTAATTTTGTATGTTCAGTAGAGACAGGGTTTCACTATGTTGGGCAGGCTGGTGTCGAACTCCTGACCTCAGGTGATCCGCTTGCCTTGGCCTCCAAAAATGCTGGGATTACAGGCATGAGCCATGACACCTGGCCCATATCAAGTTCTTAATTGGAGTAAAGAAAATGAAGAAAAAATTGTAACCCTTCCTATACTTTGTTACGTTTCTATTGTTCTTTTAAGAGACAAGAACTCCCTCTGTCGCCCAGGTTGACATGCAGAGGTGTGATCTTATCTCACTGCAACCCTGAATTCCTAAGCTCAAGTGATTCTTCCACCTCAGCCAGGTGTAGTGGCACATGCCTGAAAGTCCCTACTCAGGAGACCACAGTGGGAGGATAGCTTGAATCCAGGAGTCTGAGACTGCAGTGAGTTACGATTGTGCCACTGCACTCCAGCCTGGGCAACAGAGCAAGATCTTGTCTTTAGGAAGAAAAAGAAATTACAGGCCGGGCGCGGTGGCTCAAGCCTGTAATCCCAGCCCTTTGGGAGGCCGAGGCGGGCAGATCACGAGGTCAGGAGATCGAGACCATCCTGGCTAACATGGTGAAACCCCGTCTCTACTAAAAAAAAAAACCAAAAAATTAGCTGGGCGTGGTGGCGGACGCCTGTAGTCCCAGCTACTCGGGAGGCTGAGGCAGGAGAATGGCGTGAACCCGGGAGGCGGAGCTTGCAGTGAGCTGAGATCCGGCCACTGCACTCCAGCCTGGGCGACAGAGCGAGACTCCGTCTCAAAAAAAAAAAAAAAAAAAGAAATTACATATTAGAGAGCATTAAGTTCTAGACCATCATAATACAGGCTTTCCCCATTCTTAAACTACTCAAGGTAGCATTACCTACTTTATTATGGAAACACAAAAATCCTCATATTTCCAAACATACTATACTTACCAGCTTATTTTCTGGTTGCTGAATAAATTCTTTCAACTGCTTTACAGTAGCCAGTCTTCGGTCTCTGTCGTCTTCCCGGGTGATCCTCCGAAGAAGATTCGACAGTCGAGACTCATCAGAATAAGACATCGATCTCTCTGTGAATATATAAACATTCTGTTGTCTATTGAGTATAAATAAGCAAAGGAATTTTTAAATTTTAAAATGATTTTTAAATTTTTAAAATTAAAAATTATTTTAATAGTAATTATTATGATGGCTCACGCCTGTAATCCCAGCACTTTGGAAGGCGGGTACATCACCTGAGTCCAGGAGTTTGAGACCAGCCTGAGCAACATGGTGAAACCCTGTCTCCACAGACACACAAAAAATTACACAAACTAGCCAGGCAAGGTGGTGTGCACCTGTAGTCCCAGCTATTCGGAAGGCTGAGGCAGGAGAATCACTTGAGCACATGAGGTGGAGGTTCCAGTAAGCAGAGATTTGCACTCCAGCCTGGGTGACAGAGAAAGACCCTCTCTCAAAAATAAAATTACATCAAAAGTCACAGTCCCCTGGTCAATAAAACCTCAGGGAATATAGTTCCTATTACTCTTTTGTTCATCTCTATATTCCAAACCCCGGCAGAGTGCCTGGCACATAACAGATCCTCAAAAAAATATTTGCTGAAGGAAATGAGAAATGAATAACCTTAGGCCAACTGAACACCTCATTCCAGAGGACTGGTTGACAGAGAAAAAAGAAAGGCCTTAGTAACAACTTCCTTTGGGTCCATTCCAAACTGTTTTCAACACGCAGGTAAAGAGCCAGGGTAGAGGTAAATTAAACAACTTCCAAGGGGTATGGATAAAGTCTCAATCGAGTAAAACCAGGATATAGGCTTCTTCTTATCATCTAGGTATCCCACTGGAGGAAAGCCTCTTATTCACATTATCATCATTTCCCTAGGATGAAGTTTTGGGGAGCCATAATCACATATTTAGTTCAACAAATGTCTAATTGTTAACTACCACATGCAAGGTACGCCTCCACTAGAAAGGTAGCAAACCACAACTTTTCTCCCCTTATTTTTTAATCACAAGAACAAGCAAACAATAGTGAATACTATTAGTATATTAAAGATGCCTTTAAAAACTAGATTTTTGCTGAGCAAGGTGGCTCTTGCCTGTAATTACCTAGCACTTTGGGAGGCCAAGGTGGGCAGATCACTTGAGCCCAGGAGTTCGAGACCAGCCTGGGCAACATGGTAAAACCCCATCTCTACGAAAAACACAAAAATTAGCTGGGCATACTGGCACATATCTGTAATCCCAGATACTCGGGAGGCTGAGGTGGGAGGATCACTTTAGCCTGGGAAGCAAAGGTTGCAGTGAAATCACACTAGTGCATTCCAGCCTGGGTGACAGAGCGAGACTCTGTCTCAAAAAAACAAAACAAAGAACTAAATTTTTGCAATACGTTTTCAACTGTGCTATTTATCATAATTAGCCAATACATATGTAAACAACAAATCACAAAGGGTCTGACAGTTTCATTTCTAAGGTATAAGAAAAAATTGATAATAAAAGAAACTACAAGGCTGGGCATGGTGGCTCACACCTGTAATCCCAGCACTTTGGGAGGCCAAGGAGGGCAGATCACGAGGTCAGCAGTTTGAGACCAGGCTGGCCAAAATGATGGAACCTCGTCTCTACTAAAGATACAAAAAATTAGCTGGGCATGGTGACGCACTCCTGTAATCCTAGCTACTCGGGAGGCTGAGGCAGGAGAATCACTTTAACCCGGGAGGTGGAAGTTGCAGTGAGCTGAGATTGTGCCACTGCACTCCAGCCTGGGTGACAGGGCGAGACTCCGTCTCATAAATAAATAAATGACTACAAGGGGAACAACACACACTGGAGCCTTTTGGAGGGTGAGGGGTGGGAGGAGGGAGAGGATCAAGAGAAACAACCAATGGGTACCAGGCTTAATATCTGGGTGGTAAAATAATCTATACCACAAACCCTCATGACACAAGTTTACCTATGTAACAAACCTGCACTTGCATCCTGAACTTAAAAGTTAAAAAAAAGAAAGAAAGAAACTACAGTGTCTGAGAGAAGAATAGGATTTTTACAAATCCCTAGCCCAGAGTATTTCAACATGACAGATACCAAAAATGTCATCAACTTACCAGCAGGGAAATGAGGCTCTACTTACAATTCTGTCACTAGCAAACTATATGACCCTGAGTCTTTAAAGAAGAGGAATTGTACTGAATTAGCTTTAGAGTCGCTGTTTAGCTCCTATAATATCATAAGTCTAAGGCTTCAAACACTTTATTCTAATAAACAGCATAGCCTTTGAATTCATTCCACTTGTGAAAACTTACAGAAAGAAATCAGTTTTTTAAAAGTTATATACCAACAATAAAAGCTACAGGCACAAAGGTTTTCACCAAGATACACGTAGCACATACATAGTATTTAAAAAAAAAAAAAAAAAAAGGTCAAAAACTAAATGTCTGAAAAGCAATTACATCTAACAAAGCCCATAAATCAGAAATGTGAATTTCATACTCAGTTTTACTGGTAAATTTCTCTTTAAGGAAAAAAATGATCATTACCTCTAATCCTCTGAACTTTCAAGGCACTCACCTATACAGTGAGGCTACGTCATAAGGCAGAAATGGTATCAGTGTATTTAACTTTAGAAAAGTGCCCACTCTAGGCAGGGCTGGTGGCTCAAGCCTGTAATCCCAGCACTTTGGGAGACTGAGGTGGGCAGATCACTTGAGGTCAGGAGTTCAAGACCAGCCTGGCCAACACAGTGAAACCCTGTCTCCACTAACAATGCAAAAATTAGCTGGGTGTGGTGGCAGGCACCTATAATCCCAGCTACTTGGGAGGCTGAGGCACGAGAATCACTTGAACCTGGGAGGCGGAGGTTGCAGTGAGCAGATTGCACCACTGCACTCCAGCCTGGACAACAGAGCAAGACTCTGTCTCGAAAAAAAAAATACACTGAAAACAACAACAACAAAAAAAACCAGAGAAGTACCCACTCTGGGGGACAATGGAAGGGAGAACATCAGGAAGAATAGCTTAATGGATGCCAGGCTTAATACCTAGGTGATGGGATGATCTGTGCAGCTAAACCACCATGGCACACATTTACCTATGTAACAAACCTGTACATCCTGCACATGTACCCTGAACTTAAAAGAGAAAAAAAAAAAAGAGAAGTATCCACTCTATATATACATCTATATCCTCCACAGGCCCAAGAGTTCAAGGACTTGCTGTAGTAAGAGCCTACTATACACTATACATTAAAAATCCATGATAATTGGGTAAATCCTTTCTGTAAGATCTTATCCAGTCTTCTCATCTTGTTTTAAGAGAATTCTCTTTTAAAATGCATTATAACCTTTCTAGTGGGAAATTAACAGTTCACAGGAAAAGAATGTAAACAATTTTTACCTGCACAGTAGACTAATCAACTCATGCCTGTGCAAGGCGTTAGTAAGAGACATCCAGGATAAGAGGAGATGCAAATCTTTGGAAGGTGTACGTGATTGGTCCCCATCTTCCCAGTCTTACCCTGTGATTTCCTCATGTCTTTGGTGGCTAAAGCACGACTGCCATGCTGAACACTGGTGAACTCAGGGCTGGTCACATTGTTAACCCTCAGCTCTTGCCCCAACGACTTCCGACCATAAGTATTTTCCCCAGATCCTCCATTGACACTGTAGCCACCTACAAACAGCAATGTTTACGTTATTTAAATATGATTGTTGGCTTCAGTCAATTTCCTGATAGCTCAGGATCTTACCGTTCAATCTGCAGCAAAACCAGCCTTTGCTTCTCCTACCTTTTTCCTGTACCGTCTGCCTTGAAAATCATTTTGCTTTCTTTTAATACACCTTAGAAGTTAATTTTATTTTGATCCCTTCATTGGAAAATAAGCAGAGAAATGAAAACTATATTAAATCAAATTTTACACTTTGTTTAAAAACTTTCTTGAGGTTTAGAGACAGTAACCGGGAGGAATTTCAACCTTAGCTAAAAATCTTTGAAAACAAAAACAAAAATAGTATTGTATCTTTTTTGTAAGAAAACCGCATTTATGAATTACGTATGGAAAAAATTTTAAATTTTAAAAATAATAAAGTGGATAAACTTCCTATGAAGTTTTCAGAAATAACACTCCATTTGTTATTTATATTTTAAACGTATTATAAGAAAGCGAGAAAGTTGGGGGTGTAGGAAGGCAGGAAGGTGAGATAGGTAGGTTCAAAAAACATGCTTGCAGCAATAAGAAAATATATATACCCTTTTCGTCATTCTGTATGTCAGCGTGGACTCTGGTATCATCGTGCCTTTGCCGAGACACAACAGCTGAATTTGAAGGTTGCAGTCCATAAGAGGAAGAACTACCTCTATCTCTGGATGAAGAATATTTTAAATTATCTGGGTCGGCTGATGCACTATCAGTTCTACAAAAAGAGAAAAGCATAAGATTAGAACTTTAAACAACATAAATAAATATTTCTTTATACAAGCCTCTCTTCTCCCAACTTTTACATTTAACCATTACTACTATATTTAGTAGAATATGTACTATATATTACATGTAAGCACTCAGCTGTCTAACAAGTCTTTCATTGGGAAGAGATTCTCAAAGGATGAAATGTCAACTTTTCAGTCTCTTCTACTGTTCTAAAGACCCATTCAGAAGTATGAATAACTACTGGGATTAGGGTGACTTTGCTGGTTTTAGCATTGAAAGTCTCCTGTCCCAGGCAAAATGGGACAATTGGTCACTCTGGTCCAGAGTTCTCCTCACATGACTTGATAATAAGAATAATTCTTTCTAAATTCTCCCCCCGGAGAGGGTTAATCAGTCAAAAAATTTCAGTCTTTCCTGTCATAAAAATAAAAAACACTGGCAGCACGTCAGGGAGGGGCAATGCCTTACCAAGTTATTTTCTAAGTACTGATTATGTTAAGGTACTGTAGTATTGAAGACCCCCATGAAGATGCCTTAATTGCAAAGAATAGCAATCAAAATTTTAAAAAGTAAAAAAGAAGACACTGTAAGGAAATAAAAGGTATCAGAAATCCAAAAGCTATATTGGAAAGTTGTAGTTCATAATCTATTTAAAATTTAGGTACTGTTTAGAGTAATACCTGATGCTTATTAGGAAACAAGTGGGGGTACAGTCAAGGGTAAAAGCGTGTCCTCATCTAAGTATCTGCTCTATGCTTCAACTGCCTCATAAGTAAAACAGAGCTGAGCTACAAGACTTCTCATGAGTGTTATTCTTCCAGCCATCAATCATAAACTATCAAGAAAGAAGACAACAAAATAATCTGTTGTAGCACATGAAAAATCCAAGTAAGTTCTTCCCCTACTGATTTTCTCCTGAGAGGAACAACTTTGAGAAAAAGAAAAGAAAGAAAATGATGTTTACTACAAATGCTTTCTGAACCTTTTAGAACCTGAATCTTTGAAACAAGTTCAGGGCACTGGCAAGGCCAGAAACTAACCTATTCCTCTACGCTTTGCCCCTCCCTCTATGGTGTAAAAGTGACAGCAGTGTCTGTATACTGTCTATATTTTGTTTAGAGTTTATTAGTCTTTCCTTGCTCCCAAAAATACCAAACATAAAACTTTGCATGGGCTCAATCAGTTGGACACCTTGATCTGCACTTACTGCAATCACTGTTAATACAGAATGCAGACAATAGGTCCAATTAAGCTTGGAAATCTAACTGGTACAAGTCATGAATTCTAAAGAATCTCAATCTGAAACTTCATGAAATTCATAACCTAGCATACTAAAATGACTAAGGCTCCATAAGGAGTATCTTCTAATATTCAGAGTTCACTTGTTCATAAAGCTAAGTACTTCAAATATAAGGGAAAATAAAATCTATGGAATTTCAAGAAAAATGTATGAGAATATTTTCTGAGTATATTAAGTCTACAAGCACTAAAATATAACTCAATGGACCATAACTTTTTTAAACTAATGAAAAGACATTCCTTATATATCTAAAAATAACACATTTAACATGCATCTATATAAATCACAGCATACCATTACTTTCTGAAAGGAGACTGAAACATAAGAGAGCTTATAACCTTTTCTGACAGGGTTTGAACTTTATATGTATGCCACAGTAAGCTCTTATTAGATGAAGGAATAAAATAAGCACATGACTAATTCGGAAACACAAAGATAACTGAAGTCTGTCAATATTTAAACATACCTTCACTTCCTGCTTTCATCATGTTTACTTATCTCCTATACTACCTTTACTATTAAGAGTTAAATATCTGTATCATTTTCTGGTGACACAGTAGTAACATAAGGCAGCAGAGAATACAAGTTAAAAAAAGATCTGGGCTCAAATCCCAGCTTCAGCACTGAAAAGTATGTGTACCTTTGCACAAATTACTTGATCTCCAAGCCTTGGTTGTCTCTTGCATAAAATGAGGATAATACATATCTAACATGCAAGGTTGTTGTGAGGCTTAAATAAGATAATGAATTATAAAGAAATGCTTAGTTTGCAGGGTATGTTAAATAAAGAAATGCTTAGTTTGCAGGGTATGTTAAAAGTTATTATGACTATAATACAAAATAAACTCAAAGTTTCCAGTCTAAAAGACAATGTACAAACAGTTCATGAGTATATGAATATAATCAAAACAAGTTTTTACAGTCAATATAGAGCAACTTAAATACTTCACTAAGAAATCAGGTAATCTGTTGCTACCAACAAATCTGTTTCCAACTATGAAGCATCTGATTTCAAACTAAATTGTAAAAACCAGGGGCAGCTTCCCCATTGGTTAGAAATAAGGTTTCTAAATCCCATAAGTTATGAACACTGAGATTATTTTTTTCCCAAAAAAAAAGTGTGTTTTCAGAAATATTAAAAAAAAAAAAAAAAAACTCACTGGAATAGAGCCACTGTCTCAGAAATACCTAAAAACTCCCTAGTTGCCAAATTATTTTAATACAAATTAATCAAAACATCTCCAACCAGAACTCAGGTTGTAAGCATTCTGAACCTAAAAGCACAAAATGGTTTAGCATTTATACAAAATTTCTATTTTTATACAATCTTGACTTCTTAGGTTTCAAAAAATGTCAATGTCAGGCTGTTAGCACCAACAAGATCATCCCAGTCCAATAAATAGAAAACTGTTAAAGAACGGAAATGAGCACTTAAAATGAGGCAATCAAAGCCACAAAATAGAAACTGCAGATTTGAAGTCCAAGAAGCAGACATAAATGTTAGGCTAGTTAGTTAGAAGAGCTGAAAGGGATATCATCTGCCAGAATTAGTGTCTCAATTTAGTGAAAAAAGAAAATCTATCTATTAAGTCTAAGAATCCTAGCAAGGATCCAAAAATACCTCTACAGCCCCTTTAATATTCTAAAAATATCATGGAGAGAAAAAAAGAAACGCATAAATTTCCCCAAAACGATCAAACTGAAGTTAAAGCCTGATGTACATGCCACATGAGAGGTAAGTTTCTAAAGCTCATACCTCAAAAATCGCATACTGTATAATATGGAGCCTTTGTGATGTTTTGCATCAAGTCAATCTGTAAGACAGTAGTTACAATATTAGTGAAGACAGTGGGTTAAAACATTTGTTGTTCAAACATGGAGCAAATATCATTCATGAGTTAGGTGCTTTTAGTTGAACTACGGTCCCATTAGGGTTCATACAGTAAAGCAAAAATTGAGGTGGAAAGCTACTCTGTGCCTTAGAGGATAAAGAGGCTTAATGTGGCAACCAAAAAAATTTTAGTACATAAGAGAATTTAAATGTTAACTATAACATACAAATCACATGCAAATATAGTTACCACTTATTTTAATTACCTATTCTCAATATACAGAAAAATGCCATAAATCTAGGAGGCCATTCGTTTCAAACGACCGGAATCCTCAGACCTCACATCAACAATCCACCAAGAGCTGGGGATAGTTATCTCCTGACTAAATGTAGCCTTGCGGTCCAGTTGTTGTAAGTATTAGAGAGAAAAAGAGAGAGTCATCTCTGGAAAGTGTGAAGTCAGGGAATTCCCTACTAGGAAGTATTTCCATAAAGCACCCCAAAATGACTTGATGCAAACACCACACCTAGTGGTGTCACTGGAGTAAGCATCATATTACTTCAAATTGCTTTTACCTAGGTTTATTAAGGGATTTTGCTCTCATGGTGAGATCTAATTTGTAATGGATATAAACCAGGAAATGAGATTTGCACTAAAGCCAATGAAGTAGGAATGTACTTATTCTCTAAAGTAGCAAACATAGTCTCACTGTCACAGAGCAGTTATAGGATATGCTGCTTTCCATACTAATGGTTAATACCACCTGAAAATGATTTACCCTTCAAAAATAAATTCAAGGTTATCCCCTGTAATGCCTCTTACCTGGATTCAAACATGCTTTAATGAGAAGTAAGAGAAAGGGTGAAACTATGAAGAACCCTGGGCCTTGTGTGTATCATTACATTAGAAACACTGCTCTAAATATGAGTCTATGCTAAAACATTAATTTGAGAGGTTCAGGGAATTTATTATACAAATCTCTTCTCACAGAGAACTTTAAGTTCAAATTTAATAAAACAAAACAGAACCATTCCATGTCAAAATCATGAGTATGCGTCAGTTTTGCGATACTGAAATATTAAATTCATATAATTTCTTGGTAAAACTAGCTTAGCTACCTAAGTATTAAGTGTCTATAATAACCAAATCTTAATTATCCACTTATGGGTGATTTGTTTCCTTTTTTGAGACAGGGTCTCACTCTGTAACCCAGGCTGGAGTGCATTGGCATGACCATAGCTCACTGCAGCCTCGACCACATGGGTTCAGCCTCTCAAACAGCTGGGACCACAAGTGCACACCACTCCACTTAGCTAATTTTTTATTTTTATGTTTTTGTAGAGACAGGTGTCTCATTATGTTGCTCAGGCTGCTCTCAAATTCCTGGACTGAAGCAATCCTCCCACCTCAGCCTCCCAAAATGCTAGGATTAGAGGCGTGAGTGACCACATCTGGACTGTCACCAATTTTTAATTGTCTGTCAACTAAACAGCCAATATAGACTGATAAAATATACTTAACTATTATAAAATTGTGAAGAACTTTATCTTAACCAAGGAGAGGTCTGGTTTTTACCTGTGGATTCTGGAAGGTAATCTCTGAACTCCTGAAATGTTGTACCTAATAAGAGCATCCTGGCCAGGAGCAGTGGCTCACACCTGTAATCCCAGCACTTTGGGAGGCCAAGGCGGGAGGATCGCTTGAAGTCAGGATTTTGAGACCAGCCTGGCTAGCATGGTGAAACCTGTCTCTACTAAAAATATAAAAGTTAGCCAGGCATGTTGACGGGCACCTGTAATAATCCCAGCTACTCAGGAGGCTGAGGTTTCAGTGAGCTGAGATCATGCCACTGCACTCCAGCCTGGGCAACAGAGAAAGACTATCTCCCCCCGAAAAAAAAGAGAGGTGGTGTGGTGGGAGGGAGGTGTCCTTGTTCATCTGGGGGCTTCAGGCCACAGCAGAGTCTAACAATGTGGCTTATGGTGGCAGCTTTGAGTCCCATGGATCAGCTTGACCTCCAGTGGGGCTGGAGACCAAGGTTAGCCACATGAGCATGCAACCATGGAACCCTGGTAAAAACTCTGGACATAAAAAATGGTGGGAGTTTCCCTGGTTGGCAATAATCCACAAGTACTGTCACACATCAGTGCCACCGGGAAGGTATCATTTTTCACAACTCTATAGGGGGAGGACAATTTGAAGCTCCAACATTTGGAACTTTCCTGAACTCTGCCCTATGCACCTCTACCCTTGGCTGATTCTAATCTGAATCCCTAAACTGCAATAAACTCTAACCGTGGGTATGAGAGCTTTCAATGAGTTCTCGTGAGTCCTCCTGGCAAATCATCCAACCTAAGAGTGGTCTTGGCCAGGCACAGTGGCTCAAGCTTGTAATCCCAGCACTTTGGGAGGCCCAGGCAGGCAGATCGCTTGAGCTCAGGAGTTTGAGACCAGACTGGCAATATGGCGATACTGTCTCTAAAAAATATAGAAAAACGGCCGGGCGCGGTGGCTCACATCTGTAATTCCAGCACTTTGGGAGGCCGAGACGGGAGGATTACGAGGTCAGGAGATCAAGACCATCCTGGCTAACATGGTGAAACCCCGTCTCTACTAAAACTACAAAAAATTAGCCAGGCATGGTGGCGGGCGCCTGTAGTCCCAGCTACTC